TGGCCATTCTAGAAATCTAAACTAGAATAGGAAACGAAAATACTACCAGTAGAAATTCATAACCTGTTTCTTTTCGTAAACTGCAACTAAAGGAATTAGTTTTATCGGTATTATTTAGATGTTTAGTAATTTTATAGACAATTTTAACCCGTATCCCGTATCCGTTTACCCGTACCCCGGTGTTGTGCTAAACAAAATAATAAACATCCATTTATAGCATAGTTGCATGGTGAAAGTAGAGGTTGACAGATTTAAGCAAGATTCTTGGCTTGCACGCAGCGCGATGAAAGTAGCCCGGATGGATAATCCTTAATGCTTGCGAAGCAACCACATCTAATATTCAAAAGAAGTTTCATGTAAAGCTTGTGAGTTGTATCAATTTAAAAACCTTGAGTTAAAGTTACATATGCGATATAATATGTTACTTTACTTTCACATAATGTGAAAAAAGGTCAGTGTTTATTTTCTAATTAGACTTTTTAATATTAAATTTTGGTGGGCCACGCAGCAGCCTCGGCTGTTGCACGAATGGGCAGGCCCGTCCGGGTAAGTACCACGACCTCACAGAAGACCGGCGTAAAGTGGAAGTATGACAAATACTTTCGCGTTTCGTCTGGTGAGTGAGGTAGCCGGAGCCCAAAAGGTTGTCAACGCATCTGTAACCCTCGGGTGTAGCAGATGTCCATGGGCGGCGGTATTCACTTACCATCAGGTGAACCGTCTGCTGGTTTGGCAACTTTTCACATAAAAAAAAAATTGGTGGATGATATTTGTTTTGCTTAGAACGATGATAAATCTTTTGAAAATGAAATTAATGTTACTAACATAAAACTGACGTAAGTGTACTTATTTTTTTATGTATAACTTTGGCAAGTGAGCTGGTGGTTCACTTGAAATACTGCAACCCATGAACATTAAATTGTTGCAGTGGCTTAGTCAACCTTTAAAAACGTAGCCCACGCGTTACCCCAAAAACGAATTGCGAATGTATAATACTTGCACTCCTCGCCGGTCTTCTGTAAGGCCGTGGTACTTCCTAGGACGAGCGTGAGGCCTATTCGTGAAAATTTATAATACATTTTTTTTTATTGTACATTACTTTATCAAAATGAAGTTTGTATTTTAAAACCATAATCGTAAAAATAACAAATCAAATCGTTGGGATTATTTGAAGTGAATTTTCAAACCATTACGAGGGGCGTTCAATATATTCTCTGTTTTGGGTGATATAGGTACTTATGATGAGGATAAATAAATAACCTCATTACTTAAAGACACCCTTTGCCCGTATAAATATGAAATTTCATTGCATCATCATCATTTCAACCTGTTTGAATCCACTGCTGAACATAGACCTCCCCCATAGACTGCCACGAAGTACAATCCTGAGCCACCTACACTTCGCGCACATTTGTATAGGTCGTCACTCCATCCAGTGGGGGGTTGTCATACACTGCGATGGCAAGTACGAGGCTGCCACTCGAGAACCTTTCTTCCACAACGGTTATCGGTTCTATGAACTATATGGCCGCCCCATCGCCACTTCAGCTTACTAATCCTCTGAGCTATGGTTACCTTGGTTTTACTGCGGATGTCTTCGTTATGAACTCGATCACTCAGAGTAATTTCATTTTATTGTCACAATTATTATTCGAAAAATCATCATGAAAAGGCAACTACAAAACGGTAATGTTAAAAAGCAATCGAGCATTATGGGGTGATAAAATTCCTTACAAAACAAGGAAATACACAAGGAAAAACACAAAGAAATTGAGACTGTTTACTAAGATTTTCCTCCTTTATATAAAGTTACCATCCGCCAAAATCTCATGACCACAATATTTTGAAGTTTTGTTCAAATATTTTTAATTGCAATATCGACGCAATCATTTTCTGAAAATTTATCGTTTTAAGTTTCTAAGGGAATCTTACTGATTCAGTTCGTTCACAAAAAAGTCAAAGTATTACTACCGCATTCAACCCAAACAACCAACGGGGTGTTCGGGTTGGATGCGGTAGTAACTACGTTTAATTTAAAGTATTTAAAGGCAATAAAAGAAAAAAAGACGTGGACCCCAGGTGTCTTTTTACTTCACGACAACGCAATGGTTCACAAAGGGGCATTGCCAAGGCTATGCGAGATTGCGGACTTGAAGAAATCAATCATCCAACCTACAGCCCGGACCAAGCTCCTATTGATTAGATCGCTTCTATTATAAATATTTTTCCGAGGATGAAGAGAAGGTAGAATTTGATGAACATTTTTCAGACCAGGAAGAAAAATATTTTTAAGTGTATTGAAAAGTTATTTTTCCGCTCAAATAGGTGAATGTGGACCACATTGAAAAAAAATTATTCAATTTTTTCTGCTTATTCTTTCATGTCCATACAGAGAATATATTGAACAACCCTCGTACCATGAGTTTTATGTCTGCAGAAATATTCATTATAAAATATTTTTATTTGTAAATACGTGTATATTACCGTATTTTATAGGAACTACACCTAATTCTAGTTGCGTGTTAAAATCAATAAGCAACCTTCACACAGTTTCATGTGGAATTTAATTTACATTCGGTAACGCGCTCTTTTTTTTCAATAGTATCAAAAAGATCTTCACAACGTTGTAAAAAATGGCGTGACGGATTTCATTTCGATTGGGTCAGATTAATAAGAACAATCATCTTAAAAAATGTGCGGTATATTGTCGTTTTGCTACGAGGTTTAAGTTTCGTCGTCAACAACTCTAATGAAGAAACAATTACGTGATAATGTTGTACTGACATATTGTAGACTATATTTATTTACTTATTATTCGATGAAAAATACTTTAAGCTCTTAACTAGCTCTCGTTTTGTGCATCTCTTAGGGGGCCATGTAACAAGATCAAGGATTAAAGCCACGGACGTAGCAACTATGAATATTGTATAGTATATAATATATTGTATATACATTATTGTATAAATAAATGAAAGTAAATGAAACCACAAAAAAGTAAAGATTTCTGTATTTTTTTCTAATTATAAAATAATTACACCTCACTTATGGCGAACGCACATGCCCTTTTATTTACATAGACTTGGCTTGTATCGCGTCATGTTTTATGATTCTGTTCGATGGCGCGCAGAAAACCGTTAGCTAGAGATCGACGAAGTCTGAAAACTGCATACGTGTCATATTATGAAGCAGTATTGTTTGGTTGTCGCAGCGCAGCACAAACGCCCGTGCAATACCACCGTCACTTTCTTTCCAGCAAAGTCAATGAAGCGAGGAGAAAGTGGCGACCTCCACGTCCGTGTGCCAGTGCCGCCAGTAAAACCCGCTGACTCATATTGCGGCGATCGCATCAGTTTAGATAACGAATTCTTCAGCAGAACGAGCGTGGACGACTAATTGAATCCGCGGATTCAATGAAATAGAATTTGCGTAGCGTCCTACGTATATGTATGAAATTCTAGTTGCCATCGTTAGAATAAGTTTCGACTGTCGAGTTTTTTGATAAAAAGTCGACGGTTACTCTGTCGGTAAAAGGATATTCTTGTTTGTTAAAAAAATTGAAATTTCAAATCAAAGAACTTTTGTTACATGTATAATTTTTTTTGTCAATTTGCGCGTGTAATGCAAATTTTCTCTTTAATGCCTCTTTATTAATATTTATTATAATCAGTAAATGTAATGTATGTTCGCACAGACGATTTTGATTTTATTCCATTCACTAATATAATATTGAGTCAACATATCTACTATTCTTAAAAATTTGCGCAGTATTTTAACTGTTTTATCCACGTCCAGGAGCAAACCCAAGGCTACCGACTTAACACTCATACGGTTGTTGAACCAGTCGGCCGTAACTTAATAACATATTGAAATAAATCTTTATTAATTGAAAGCACTGGGCGAAAGCTTTATTTGGTAATGATATTAAACATGTGTAATATTATTTATTACTTACATAGATAAGAGAAGTAGTATTTTATGCTGTGGATCATAAGACAGATCCGTAATTTGTTATAATATTGGGGCCATTTAAACGTCTTATTGTAATTTATGTAAGCCTCTTAGACATGTTACGTTTCGTATTTCCATTAACTTTCACTTATTTATGTAAAACCAAACTCTAATTATATCTGGTGTTCAGGATTTACCATTCACGCTACTTAGAAAATAAATACGTTAGTTACTATCAAAATTTAATTTACCATTACTTAATTCATTTCAGGATAATTATAAAGTCATTTGAAATGGTATTTTATGTTTCTAATTACCCTAAAAATCTTATTTGTATTCTTAATTTTTTATCATCATCAATTTTCTAATAAACCATGCCCAAGTTAAATGCGCTAAGTGAACATGTTATGATGTTGATGAAGATGTTTATATAGGTAGACTAGCTGCTGCCCGCGACTCCGTCTGCGTAGAGGGGTAAATTTAGGGTTGTATGTATTTTTGTATGCTGTATCATAAAAAATACAAACAATAAGTTTTATATAAAAAATAAAAATAAAATTTAGGCGTGGACCATTTAGGGGGATGAAAAAAAGATGTTGTCCGATTCTCAGTCCTGGTCGATATGCACACAAAATTTCACGAAAATTGGTCGAGCCATTTCGGAAGAGTTCAATTACAAACACCGTGACACGAGAATTTTATGTATTAGAGAGAGATAATACTTAAATGTTATACACCTTCAAAAGGTATTAATCGCTTAGGAAAAAACAAAAAAATAAAACCTAACAAAAACCTAATAATGACAACTCTCTCCGATAGGTGAGTCCGATAGGAGAGAAGAAACCTTAAATGCACTCTGCATTTATGGTTAAAATTGTTTAATAAACTAGAGGAAATTGTGTGATTACAGAAGTAAAGATCGAGGGATCCTAGTTTATGTAATTACATAATGAATCAAAATTAAAACTATTAATTTTTTTTTGTTGCAGTTCCTTGTTCATCAGCACGTCCCAATTATGATCATTAGAATACAATGTCTCCTATTAATATTAATGAACCTTGCCATAGTTTTGATATCAGGTTAGCATTTCTTTTAAGTTGTTTTTATAAATTCATGTACTTTTTTACGACTAGAAGTTTGATCAGATTTTCATTCAATTAAAATTCCAGGTAGTCCCACATTCAATCAGCAAAGAAGTAACAGACCTGTTATAAGATGGAGACCACCTACAGATACTTGGAATTGGACATCAACACCCAGGAACGAGGAGCCTTTTTTTACACCGTCCAATTTTAATCATACCCTTCCGCCGACAGCAAATGAAACCGAATTATTAGCTCACATGGCAACCCTTAAAAGAAATTACTCCCGCCTCCTTTGGGACAGTGACAAGAGCACCAACTTACCTTTATTCGTCGAAAAAGCCCTGAAGCTCCTGAATTTAAAACAAGTTTATTACGAAGTGGAACATTCTGTCATGTCCAGGGTATCATGCACAGCCTGTAAAGCCGGCGCTGGTCTTTTACAACATTATATTAAACTCGGCAAGAGCAAGGAAGAAATAAACAAGATGATTTACCAATTCTGTGTTTCCCTTAACATTCAGTCACCGCGTGTGTGTGAAGGTATTACGAGATTATTTGGGGTAAGCTTCTTTTGTTTCTCTTATTATACGATTATTTCCGGCCTTTTGTCCGGGCAATATTTTATATAGGCCAACGTCATTAATCTTTATCTGTTTCAGAGCGAGGTCGTGTACGTTTTGAAACGGATTACTATAGGCCCTGATGAGATATGCAGTTTTGTAATTGGAGATGCTTGCGGTGATGTTTACAATCCTTATCACGAATGGGAGGTTGCATTCCCTCCTGTGCCTAAACCATCTACTCCATCTCTAGAAGCTCCTTTATCGAAAGCGCCTACATTTAAAGTTCTTCAAATATCTGACACTCATTTCGACCCCTATTATGCAGAAGGTACGTATTACCGAATCTGTAATGTTTACAAATTTTTACCTTAATATTTCTGTTAAGATTGGAATGTTTGTTACCTTTCTTTACGTTCTTTTAATGTAAATATATTTAAGGCTTATTTTCAATAAGAAGCTTAGATTATAATATATTATGTTAAATTAAAAGCGGCTCCAAAAATGCGACATTTAAAATTAAAAGTACTGAAAAAACTCAACCCATTTCTTAATGTAAATAGGAAATTGAATGTGTGACGATTTTGTCTTCGGTCACATTAATAAGTTTTTTCCACTTATTTTATATGTGAGCACCCCTGGTGCATCCTAATCTAATAAAAAACGAATCAATCAATTCGAGCGAAGTTTCTAATCATGGATGAAAAGAGTTATGTCCACGAAATGGAAGTATCTGTTATTTCGCATATCGTATATTGCCTGCCCAAACCGTGGTCTAATTCCTCAAAGCTCAAAGCTTTGATGTCTATAGACGGCGGTAATTTCCTACATCAGGTGAACCGCATGTTCGCTTGACATTGTTTTTTTTTATTATGTTTTAATTCCAGGTGCTAATGCAGAGTGCAACGAACCTCTTTGCTGTAGGGCGTCCAGCGGACCGGCTATGACCCCAGGCGGCGGTGCGGGACGCTGGGGAGACTACCGCAAGTGCGATACACCCAAGCGAACCATTGATCACATGTTAAAACACATAGCTGACACGCATCCCGTTAGTAGAAACTAAAAAAAATTAAACAACGTCTATCCGAAAATGTATATGTTTTGGTAATTAGTACCAGACTCTTTTGCCAAATTAACATCTGTAAAATGTATCATCATCATCAACATCTTCCTGCCCTTATCCCACATAGGTGGGGTCGGCACAACATGTGAATCATGTTGTAAACCGTTTTAACTATGTACATTTATATATTTTTATGACCGGAAAGGTTCCTTGGGAACAAACCTTCAGATCCGGAACAATTTTTACTGGTGTGTTGTGGTGTACTGGTGTGTTGTTCCCCATACATTTAGAATTGCAACATAATAATATCAGTAAATGTCATGAACTATGTGAATAGTCATTAAACGGTTTTATTTAGCTCGACCCGTACGGAATTTATTTATTTATTTGGGTCAAAATTAGAAATTGAAATTTAAGCACCTTCCCGTTGTCAGATTGATCTGAAATTTGATACACACATTTAATTTAGATTACAATACAATATTGTAGTTTTCAGTGCACAAAAAAAAAACATAAAATAAAACCGTTTAACTTAAAAGTTTTTAAACGGTTTTATTTTTAAATTATTTATAGTGCTAATCTTTGCACTTAAGATTGAACATTAAAACATGTAGAAAAAGTTCGAAAAGATTGTCACCGCTGTGGGAATCGAACCCACGTCTTTGGCATTCGCGGCCTGACACTCTAGCCACTAAGCTAAACGGCTACATGTTTTCTACATGTTTCATATATGTGAATAGTCCATGAAATATACAGCCTGTTTGAATATTTCAAATGCTTATAAAACATTTACCAACTTCATGCTTTATGCCACTAATTATAATTAACCCTTAAAGATAATTAAAAGCAATTTCTTATTCGTATCAGGACATAGATTACATTTTATGGACGGGTGATCTGCCACCGCACGATGTTTGGAATCAAACAAAAGAGGAAAACTTAAAGGTCCTTCAAGAAACCGTTGCCCAAATGTCAGATATGTTTCCGGGGGTACCGATATTTCCTGCGCTCGGAAACCATGAATCTTCACCAGTTAACAGGTAAATTTTAAGAGTATATGTTAATATTATATTATATATAATATACAGCGTGTCGTTACAACCGCGACAATAAATTAACACACGTCTAACGCTACTTGTCAAAAATAATAAAAAAATATAAAACGCTAAAAAAATCCATAATTATTTTTTTTTCAAACGAACTAATTAAATAAAAAAGAAACAAAATTTTTAACACCTATACACCTACATCTGACTGATTCATACATTCAAACACTTTTTCATTCATTGTCGCAGCGTCGCTTTACAAATCTCAGTACAGTATGTTTTATCTCTTTCAAATGCATTCAACCCATTCATATGCTTTGTGACCTTTACTAATGAACTTTACGTTACTGTTCTAAAATTGTTTGTTTTGGAAAATTTAATAACTTGGTAAATATTGATGTTTAAAGAATGTTAATGTTTAATTCAATTTTAAAAAGTTATCCTCTATTCGTGTGTTCATTTATTGTCGCGGTTGTAACGCCATGCTATATGTTTTATATCTTAACATTACATCCTACTCATGAATATATAACGAATAAACTGTTACAAGAAAGTCATGGATATACATACAATATACGGTTCGTTTCTAGTTTTTATAGTCGTAAGTAATTACTCTATATACTACATTGCGGTAATGTAAAAAAAACTGTATAGCAAACCGACGACGGGCAAAAAGCGAATCTTTTTTTCTCTCAATATTTAACTTTAGTCTTACCAAAAGAGCCATGAGAGCTCAGTGTCCGGGCGCTCGCCTTTAATTCAATATACTCGAGCAACCTGAGTTCGATCCCCGGTACCGGCACCAATGAAGTTTTTATCTTTAAGTGATGAATTATCACGTGCCCCGCGGTGAAGGAAAACATCGTGAGGACTATGCTCTGGTACCCTCTGTATAGAGGAGGCTTTTGCCCAGCAGTGGGACATGTAAAGGCCTTACTTTTTTTACCAAAGCAGAAATTTCTATTTCTTTCTAAATGATATCCAGAAGACGGATGCAACAAACTGTACGACTAGTTTTTTTTAACTTCACTCTAGGTAGGGGTAGACTAATCCGGATAAATTAGAAGCATTTGTTTTAATGTACTTCGCCTGTTTCCGATATCACATTAGCCCACGATATCACGTTAAAGAGTGGGGGTGCATCTGTAGCTCCACAGTAGATGCAGACGTCCAAGAGCTGTGCTAATCCCGTCAGCGGAAGCGCTGCTCGCTATAGGACTGGTCGTAAGGCTACAGAGCCACATAGGTCGCGTAATCCTTACTTCCTTACTAATATTATAAACGCGAATGTTTGTATGTATGGATGGATGTTTGTTACTCTTTTACGCAAATACTACTGAATGGATTTTTATGAAACTTTACAATAATATAGCTTATACATCAGAACAGAAGACATAGGCTATAATTTATATGCATATTTTTATGTATATCTGTCTTTTTGTCTAAATGTTACGCCTTCAGCCTGTCTACGCAGACGTAGTCGCGGGCAGCAACTAGTTCGAAATAATTTACGTATTAATTTCCTCACAGTTTCCCGCCGCCTTACATATCGTCGTCGGAGTCTAACATCGCGTGGCTGTACAACGAGTTGGACGCGCAATGGCGTCGCTGGCTACCAGCCGGCGTCTCGCACACAGTGCGCCGCGGCGCCTTCTATTCCGTGCTCGTTCGCCCCGGCTTCCGCATAATATCGCTCAACATGAACTACTGCAACAATAAGAACTGGTAAACCACACCCACTTTTAAGCGATTACAGGTTCATAGCGTTTATTTTAATCGATAAATCCGTAAAAAAGGCCAAACGCTTGCACCGAGCCCTTAATACAACTGCAAAGATCGAACAATCTAATGTGTTTAGTTGCACTTTTGCACGAATGAGTAGGCTCGTCCGGGCCTCACAGAAGACCAGTCTAGTGGAAACGTATTTGTAGCCACCTATCTGACGTCAGCACTCTGTGGGTACAAATACACAGATCGGAACAATAATTTGTGTGTCATATAAATAGTTATCCTGTGTGAAAATCCAACCCACGACCGTGCCAACAGCTTTGCAAATGCGCCACCGCAAAATCGTTATTAATTTTATATTAAAGGACGATATGAATAAAAAAATTGCTTATAATATAGTCTACTGTTTCAATTATTGTAACCATTGTCTTTCGTTAATATGGAATACATAACAATGCATAACTTCACGTGTATTATGCACTATATCATTGTTAACTAATGTGTGGTATTTCTATTGTAATTAATATCTCAACCGCGAAGTATCACTGCCGCATTCTTTTTTGTTCGGTGAGTGACTCTTAAGGGTTTGTAACCGTCACTTCGGTGCGGTTGTCATTGGTCACGAACCACCAAGTAAATCAAATCATTGGCCATGTAAAATAAAAACAACGATAAAAGAGTTTAAAAAGCAGCAATGCGAAATCATGTTCCTTCATCATCATAATTATAATTTAAACAATTAAACATGTTTCTCCAGGTGGTTATTGCTGAACAGCACAGACCCAGCAACTGAACTGCAATGGCTGATTTACGAATTGCAATCAGCTGAATTCAGTGGAGAGAAAGTGCACATAATTGGCCACATACCGCCTGGACACTCGGATTGCCTCAAAGTTTGGAGCCGGAATTACTACGCCATTATCAACAGATATGAGTCAACGATAACAGCCCAATTTTTCGGTCACACGCACTTTGATGAATTCGAAGTATTTTACGATCCCAACGATCTCGGTAGGCAAATAATTGAGTACGCTGTACGCAGCAATTTCTTTGATCTTGACAACGCTGTTGCGCGAATGTACAGGCTCGTCCGGGTAAGTACCACGGCCTCACAGAAGACCGGCGTGTAGCGAAAGTATTATCCTTTGGGTTTCGTCTGGTGAGTGTGGTAGCCGACTGCTTAGGCCCACTTTTTAATAGTTGGCAATGTATATCCAATTCGTCAAGTTTTGTTGATGTTAATGGATAACTGCAATCGCTTAACTTCAGGTGATTCGGCTAGCTTGCCAACCTTTTTGCATAAAAAAATATTTGGAAAGTTTGAAAATCGCAATCAGGAAATACTTAAAGGCCTGTTGTCTTTTGAATCTGCTAAATAACGAAAAATATAAAAGCGGTTACTGTTTTGCCGGAGGCGCACAGCTGTTTCTGATGCACGAATGGGCAAACTCGTCCAAGTAGATGCTACGGCCTGAAAGAACACCGGTGTTAAATGAAAGCATTTTATATTTTTTTATTATAATTTTGCATTATACGTCTGGGGATAAAGATCAAATAGGTGTTGCATTATCTTTTAAAGGATGGCACCGAATTTACACCGCTCCCGGTACTACAATAAAGTAATTGTAGTACCGGTGTTTACACTGCCCATGGATATCTAGTAGACTAGATATCCATCGGCTGTGGTATTCACTTAACATCAGATGAATTGCCTTCTCGTTTGCTACATTCTCACATAAAAAAGAAAAGGAAATATACTCAACTTAAGAATATTATTCGACTACTTTCTAAACTTAACGATTCCTTTCCTTTTAGGTAGAGCCACAAGTATAGCATATGTTGGACCGTCGGTGTCGCCATATTATGATTTAAATTTAGGATATCGTATTTATTACGTAGACGGAGACCATGAGGCTACAACGAGGGTCAGTATTTTTTACACTAACCTCTTACGGCATACTCACAGACGTTAATTAGCACTGTTATAGTATTTAATTAAATCATTTGCGAAGTCCAATATTAATTTAGTATTATTAATAAAATAAGATTCCACTATTTAAATAAACGAATTAAATGCTCACTAGGCGTGGATGTAAGTCTCAGGTGCGACCAATAATCTTGTGCTTATTTATTAATTTTGGGTTTTTATTTTAGCTTGTGGTGGACCACGAAACTTGGATTATGAATTTAAAAGATGCGAACCTCTTTGGATACCCGATCTGGTACAAACTATACTCGGCACGGTCCGCGTATCAAATGCAAGCTTTGCGACCACAAGACTGGGATAAATTCATAGACGATATGACTTCCAAAGAAGATGTTTTTAATTTATATTTCAAGTAAATTAGTTATTACATTTTTATATTATAATTTTATAAGAACCGATGGGGTAAAAAGGTAGAACGACTCCCCACTATATGGTGTGACGTTATATGCAAATGTGCGTCGTTTGATGCGATGGCTCAGGATTGTCCATCGTGACGGTCTGTGGGGGAGGCCTATTTTCAACATTGGACTCTCAGGCTGAAATAATGATGACGATGATTATAGTTTTCCATCGTGATTCATCCTCCATTTCATCTGAACTTTTATGGTTATTACGAGGTAATAGGGTTAAAATCACGTTTAAAACTAGAAAAAGGAAATGTTTATTTTCATGTTGTTGTCGTAGTTCTGTATTATAAAGTCGAATTCTAATCTATTTACGTTATTAACGTTGTAGATACTTTTGAGTCGTAGTAAATGTTATAGTTATCCGAGCAACCCGAGTTGAAATCTCGGCATTGAAAGTTTTTTTCTATGCAATATGAAGCCCGCTAAATACTCCAAGGAGCCACCTCACCTTACTATGCCATAATATGCTCTGTAAACAAGAAGCCTTTTCCGATCAGCGGGACTTATGTGTAGGCTAATAAATGAAACTATGTTTGCAGATTTATTCTTAGATTGGACAGTCCCGTGACCATGAACGCTGTAAAGGGTTCGAAACGTCGAAAGTTAAAACCAAAAATAAACGCGATAAATCCGTAAACATAGTTTCGTTTAGTAATGTGTAATCGCGTAAATACAAGAATTTATTATAAAGGGAGGCTTTTCCAAATGTATCCACTTTTTTAAATTAAATTCTAAACATAAATAATGTTATATAAAAATGATAAATATTTAAAATCACTCTTAATTAATTAATTACATTTATTTGAACTTATCAGAAAATGTGCGTGATTTATTGGCAACTCATTTATCTTACGCGCGATCATTGATAACTAACACGCACACAAGTTCGTTTCAAAACTATACGACGCATTTATGAATGACTACCGCATTATCAACAGGTTCTGTTTTTTAGGGAATAGAATTGAAATTTTTTTGAAAAAAAAAAATGTTTGTATTTATTTCAATAAACGATTATACTAAAGAGTCTGAACCTCCTGTGTGAATTTGGGCACCTTTAGACAAGTCACCAGTTTAGTATGTGTCATGGCTGTTTTAGACATTCGTTTACTTCACTTTTAGACATTATTGGAAGAACAGCCCTCGTCGAGGCTCTTGTGACGGCGAGTGCCGTAAGCGGTTGGTGTGTGACGCGCGATCCGGTCGCTCTCACGACCGCCGCGCCCTCTGTGGCCATATTGAGGCGCGCATTGACAGCACGGCACCTGCGCCGCAAACGTGGCGCGCTTGGCTTTACAACGGCCTTTCCGTCTCGTAAGTTACAACGACGAATGCTGCACAATACTTTCTCTAAAAAATTCTGTCCGGTGATCATTAACCGGCCTAAGAAAATAGCGATATGCAGACCCTTGAAGATGTCCTTGTTAAACTAGAACAGACAGACAGAGGCTGGCAAATTGCTTTATGCATTTCATTTCAATGATGTTTTTAACAATCAAATCTATCTCACCTCATTTCACCTCGCCCCACTGCACATTAGTACCGTGCAACTTATGTATCATCTTTACACACTCATTCTTCTTTTCTCAACGTAGGTACCTAATTTGTTTTCACTACATATTTAAACAAAATTTCAAGTCGTAACGTGTCGAAGTCCGGTGTTTAATTACTAACGAATAATTCTATAATTTTGTTTCTTTGGTACAGCTTCTGTATTATATTACAGGATTCATGTTGTAAAATACATTTTATATATTTTAAATAACTGTTGTATATAAAAAATAATCCACAACAATGTTATATTGAAAATTATCTTCTAAGCGCCTCCTTGTGTATATAGCAAATTTATTTTAACGCTTCTTTGATTACAATTTTTCGTTTAAACTTTTTCGAGCCCCGATGCAAAATATTTCGTTTACTGAGTAAAATTTAATGCCGGTATGTTTCAAAGTGAAACCTAAGTAAATAATTTTAGTTCTATGAGCAATAGATGAACAGTAGGTACCATTTTTTTAATTTTATGAAGCTTATCTCCTGTATGGTACAAAAATAAAATAAATCTTTATTGTAATTAAAAACAAGTCCCATCAACGCATAAATGCTCGGCAGTTTAACACGCAATCTAGTTCACCTACTCGTACCACTTGGAAGTATCTGTTTTACTCGTAGATACAGACTAGATCCTCAATGGTATCATCGGTACCAACTCTGCTGGAGTTATTGAATCCCAGACAGCCATAATTTTAAACTTGACAGATAAAAATTTCGAAAAATGTGGATTGTTTATTGTACAAGAGTTTGGTCTATTCAAACAGGAAACTATGCCGTTTTTTTGAAATGATCCAGCATTAGTAGTCACTAATGATGAATCATTACAAAAAAACGGCAAAAATAGACAGTCGTCTAGTAGAAATTTATAAGTCTTTGGCAATTTAGTAGGTATTTTTCCGACTATTGTTACCGAATCACATTTCTCTAAAATATTATTAAAACCTAATAAATACTTGGATCTTGCTTTTTTATAAACTTTGATTGATTGATTGAATATTCTTTATTGCACACACCATGGTAAAAAAATATATGTTAAAAATGCCAATAAAAAAATAGAAAATATGATAGTTTGAATTTTTCTATATAAAAACTTGAAGAGATGCTAGACGCATCAATTACAAACCAATCAAACTGTTCTGCATGGGCATTTGTAAATTAGTATAGTATCTAAGATATAAATTTTAGAGAAAAGATTTTTTTCTTTAATAGTGCAACAGTAAGCTCTTTTAAATGAAGTATAATACTATATTATAAATCGTTTACAACCTTCGTCTCGTCGTCTTAATCGTTTAATGCCTTTCGGCAAATAAAACTGAGTTGATAAAATTATATCTTCTTCACAAAGTGTGAACAGGACGAACTCTTTTGCATCGGGACTCATATCATGATTAAACCAGATATATAGGCGTACCTATCTGTTATGGTTTCTTTAATGATAAATTAACATTGATAAATCACATATCGAACACGTTTTGGTCTTTGGGCACTTCACTGCCTTTGGGCAGTTTCACGTCGGGAACTACCTAAAGGCCTGCCCGAAACATGGAATTTTAATGAGAATTGACAAAAATTCGTTTCTTCTTAATTTATTTAACCATATATTTTCTATTTGACAAAAAATGGATGGTATTATGGAGTTTAAGAAACGTTTTCACTTCCATTAAGTTAAACTAAAATATAAAATCGGTACGAACTGAACTAATGATTTTTTAAATACTTTCCTTGGCAGAAATATTCCTAGTGTACAGCAGGTGTAGGCGGTGGTGGCTTTCTTTTAGGTCTACTGCATGCAAATACTTGGTGGATGTGGACTTGTAAATAGTATGTAGGTATAGCCTTATTTTATTGTACATATTTTTACGGTTCGTAAATTTTTCAACAAGATATGTAATTAACAAGAGAACTTTTTCAAAATAAATTTTAATTTTTATATCATCGCATTGAGAAATTTAAAGGTATTCAGTAATGACCCTGAATTTTGCCTAAACATTCATTATTGTGGTAGGGCCACGCAGCAGCCTCGACTGTGGCACGTATGGGCAGGCTCGTCTGGGTAAGTAAGTACCACGACCTCACAGAAGATTGGTGTAAAGTGGAAGTATAACAAATACTTTCGTGTTTCGCATGGTGAGTGAGGTAGCCAGAGCCCAATTTTCAAAAGGTTGTCAACGCGTATGTATTCATTATTAACATCAGGGGAACCGCCTGCTGGCTCGTCTACTATTCACATAAAAAAATGATTTTTTTATGTGAAAAATTGTCTAGCGAGTAGGCAGTTCACTTGATAAGTGATTACTGCTGGACATCTTCAGCACCTGAGGACGTGTAGCTGCGTTGACAATATTTTAAATAGAGGGCCCGGGTTACGTCAAGTATAGTAAGGACCATATTGAAGTGTAATAATTAAATTTATCAATCTAAAATTTGTTTTAATGTACCGCTTTACTTGAGGGATACTTGTGATCGGACAAACTAAATAATTATATACTTCCTGTCGACGAGCAAGCAATACTGTTTTATTTTCGTAGAAAAACTAAAACTAACATCACATTCTTCATTCCTGGTGGAAAGTTCTCATGCAGCACATGTAATATCAATTGTAATGTTTTCAGGTTATCAATGTTGATGCAATTACCACAAGTGGCTTATCAAATACCAAAGTTTATAATGGGGCTGGGTTGAGATTTTATCTCAACAAAGTGAACAGATATTAAATCGAATAGCACCACCGGATTTAGTCGCATTGAGAACAATTAGTTGTTTTTTTTTTTTCATTTCTTTTCATTTATTTATTATACTTTTTCGTTTTTTCGTTTCAGAAATTATATAACGATGTTATTTTTAATATTTTTATGGGATTATATCTAATTATGGTTTTTGTGATTCCACAATGTAATTAATTAGTTATAAGGCGTCTGCGACCCGTCTGATAAATGTTGTTAATATTTGTAAATAAAATTTGTAAATTAAAAAAAAAATAAGGAATAAACCTTTTCATTGAAACACATTTTTTTTTGTTTAAAATTTTTATTTTTTTAAAAAAAATTAGCAAAGAGAGCATTATGGTGTTCATAGTATCCAATTAAATTAACTCTAGGCATATTCCGTATGTACGTCATATAACGAAAATATACTTGGTCTCAAAAACTAAAACCCTTTTTTCCTATTTTCAATCAAAAAGTACAAAATACGTTATATGAAGTAAAACGCTATCAATTATTTATAATACATTTAAAATCACTAATGAGCATAAAAAAGATACTTTCAAGAAACAAGGGCGCAATCAAGTAAATTCAAAATCTTATCAACAAAACAGAACTAATTGAACCTCTACCATATTATATATACACTTATATTTAAAAATGCGCAACATAAAAAAAATTCTATACAATGTTTTTAGCAAGTTCGGTTAATGTAATCAGTCCAATTTTATTAAAAAATATATTGTTAACTACACTAATTTAGGATATGAAAGTGTTACCTCATTGCGTGTATAATATACACGATTTTCGTTTTTATAACGTGTATCGCCAATACATTAAGTTGTTGAATAATATATGTTATGATTACAAACGAGTATATTGATACCATTCATGTTGTTTTTAAACGTGTTATGAATACAAAATGACGCCTTAACATAAATGTGCTGGAACAGGCTGATACATGTCACAGAAAATATGGATGTAAAATATTTTTAAGCATATCAATACATTATACACTCAATGTAATAACAGCCACTTTTTAATGTAGAGGTAATATTGTCTGTTGCCATCCTTGACTTAATTCAAAAGCTTCGCACCTATTGGGATTTAATTTAGTGAATAATTTTGTAGTTCAGGTAATTTAAAAAGCCAAGTTTTTGCAGAATTTACAACATAAAAAGAAATTGAATTAAAATCTGAGAGCTTCATGGCAAGAGAAATTCAGTTGTACTGAACAAAATGGTAATGAAACAGTTGATTTAAAATTGCTTATTTTACATATTAATTACTAGATTTTATTTAGTAATCAGTACACTACAACAGATTAAAAAATTATTATTGAAATTATTTTCAATTTTATAAATAAGGCACTTACAATTTGTATAGTTATACATCACATTACAAAAAAGCAAACTTGGTATGTCTCCATAGCTCTAAATCATTTTAGTCATGTCATAAGAATTATTTTATATATTTAGATTGTAATAATCTAGACATGTTACTACAATTTTCAGAAGTTACAGCTTGTGACACGCAAAAAGATCTTAATTAGAGTAATAAAAAAAACAAAAATTCTTATTTTTGTTACAATTAAAATATTATATGCCATTTTAAAATTAGTTGACATTAAAACTGTGAATAAAATATTGTTTCATTTTAGACTTTGTATTAAAAATAAGATTTTGTACTTTGCAAAATGAAATATGAAGCAAATAACATACCACATAAATAAAGTCTACCTAAAAACTATAAGTTATGAAGGAAAATACCAATTATTTGAACTATACAGAAAAATTCGAACTTATAATAAATGCTAAAGGATAGTGATGTAGATATTTAGTAATTACAATTAATCTCAAAAGAGCGTACGAGTATATTCTAAACACATTGAATAAACTAAATTACAGTCTTCAAGATATTGTTCATATGACAACAGGGTGTCCACATAACTGCTACTGTTAATATGACTGCAAGAGGTAATATCACAGTGAACAATTTTATTAGGTGATTGCAACAAGACACCACTAACCTTTATCTTATGGCCAACATTAAAAATACAAATAAAAAGGAGAATTAGAAAGGATTCAAACATAATGTAGAATTTAAAAACATGTCAAAATATAGACTTGTTCTTTGCTATTATCATTCAGTCTGTTATATAAAATTTTAATTAAATTTTAAAATAAAAAAAGAAAGCACCTCTGAGCAAGAACAGATGGTTGTGCTATGAAATTCAAATTGTCATGGTATTTGTATATAATACTTATAACTATTTTTCAATATAAAGAAATGAGGTAATAGTCAAATTTTAAATCACTAGGAATTATTAAAAAAAATCAAAAATGGCACTGTATCAGACCTTGGGTGTATCCAATTATTATAATCTCAACCAACATTCATTCTTGTCTTTTACACAATGATTTTATAAATCATAAAACTATCTTTGGATGTGGAATGTAAAAACAGCATTAATTTTACAAAAACTCACTGGGCCAAATGCTTTGCATTGATAATGTAGCTCATAGGAGTCTACGTAAAGTTCTTTTGCTTTTCTTTGTGCACATTCCATTTAAACTTTTCTTTCTTTTCGTAGGACTAGGACCCTCCAAATCATATTGTCTACACTTTTTACCTGGATGCCTATCACATCTACAAAATCTACAAAACTGATAAGCACAGGTGTTATTAGTGCACTCGACCCATTCTTCTTCAACATCTTCATTATTTACTTTAGCTGGTTGGTCACATCTTGAACAGACAACTTGTATCCGGGAGTCCAATGATGCTGCCTGAAATTAAAAAAAATATTTTTTTAGTCATGTGCATTAGTAAATTAACTGTCTATACTGTCACTTCTAAGAATCGAATGCTCTGTCATAGCTTGTTCTGAGTCTGATATTACAATATCCAAAATTTATACATATCTATATTGGAATAGTCAGATACTATATAAATTTTCAATATTTTAACATATAGAATAAGCTATTGCTATAATTACAACCTATTAGTAAAAAATAAAAATCATTTAAACAAACATATTTACCTTAGTAAACTTTTTGAATCTGTTGGTTCTAGGTGTTCCAGGAGGACTACAGACTATGTTTTTCATTGTATTATTACTGACTATATTATGAACACCCATGGGTATTCTAACATGATCATGACCATGATCCTTTGGCGTTGTTCCTTTGTTCTCTTGATTTTCTTTTTCATTTTGCATAAATTTGACAAAGTTTTGTTTCACCGTCAATTTCTTACTAACTTCATCCCAAACCTTTAACCATGTATCACTAACTAAGCTAAAGTTAAAAATGTCCTCATTAGACAAATGTTTAAAAATTTCCATTATTGGAGGCATAGCACTATGTTCATACAACATTCTGATAATATCAATTTTCTTGTTTGGTTTTATTAAACCATATTGATAGGTTTTGATTCTTTCAGGAACTGGTCTATTTTTTACAGGCTCTAATGCTTCAATATCACATGAAAGCGAGTGAGTTATAAGCCTTTTCACTGGTTTTCTTAAACTTATAGGGCTTCTTAATGTACACCTACTCCTGCAAATTTTCTTAACTGGTGTTGTTGGATATGATATTTCATTTCCATTTATTTCATGTTGATAATTAAAATCTTGTAAAATGGTATTTGTATACCTAGTACTAACTGTATTTTTGTTCACTTTAGATCCATCACTAAATTTAAGCTTACGTAAGCAGCCTGCAATGAGACTTGTTGGTGTTGGGATGGAACAATTTCCATCAATATTGTCATCCTCCTGAAAAGATCGCTTTATTCCACGTCGACGAGCAGGAGAATCTTTGTGATCATAAGCTTTAATTGAACTAGGACACTGACTGAACCTCTGTCCAAATCGAAGTTTTACTTCAGGCGTAATATCGTAACAATCAACTTGTATTTGACAAAATCGTCCCTGCATAACATGGGGATTTAAACTGTCATTAGACAGTTCTGTATATTGGAACGAACCTGGTGTAAACGAAGTGTGGTAACCGCTATCTTCATTCTTCGAATATGTGTTAATACTGTCGTATGATAACGCAGGTGTGGTTGGTTCAATAAAATCGGACTGGAAATCCATATTTTAATAGTTTATTTCCGTAATACTACGAGATTGATGTTAATCATTTATTCAACGCATCACAACGAACGTTTCACAAATTGATCTGTTAAAGCAATATTAAATAAATATCAAGAGATCATACTGTCATAAAACGAATGTATGTTTTCACCTAAATAGTTTTTAGTTATCTTATAGGGCTTACTGCTGCTTTATGAAAATTCAAAATCTTTTGTAGGACTAACTACTAAACTTCAAACGCCAAGCCATGACAGGTAAGCAAACAAATTCTAACATTTATTATTTATGGTAACAAACTACTAAAATGATACTAAGGGTGCGTTCCACTAAGCGTTCCACTAAGCGTTCACAACGATCACACACACGACCGCAATTTTTTCCGTTCCACTTGCTTGTGCGCGTCACTGTCGTAAACTCAAGTGGAATGGATTATCGTTTTAAGCGTGGAAGTAAATAATACAAACGGCGAGTTAGAAAAAAGCAAGCAAAAGATTTAAGAGGTTAGATTATTTATTATCTGTAAGCGTTGAAAATAAACTTAAATAATTATTGTTTGAATCGAATTATATTGAAAAAAAAATAATAATTCAACTTTTTATTATTTAGTGGTGTATTTAATAAATTTACGTCCAAATGTAAATAAAATGTCTTTTGCGGTGACACTCGGAACTTTGATATTTTGAATTTTGAAAATGCCGCTAATTTTTTCAACGATCACTTCGACCCACCTTTTAAGATGGGTTGGCGTGAGCTTCGCGTGAGCGTAAGTCATTACGTCATAATTGACATTTTCCCCGCGTCACAACGACCGTGGCCGTTATGTGGAACGATTAGAGGAGCATTTTGATCGTTGTGCGCGCTTTGTGGAACGCACCCTTAACATGTCTATTGTTTATGGCATAGCATATTCAGTTAGCGGTTTTCTCCGTCTACATTCACAAGATAAGGAATGTAACGAATATCATCGTAATGTATATCAGACGAAACAATTGTACATACTAACTTGCTGAAATTCAACATGTTTTAATTATATATTTTTAACCGACTTCAAACGGAGGAAGTCCTCAATTTGATTGGTATATTTTTTCGATGTATGTACACCGATTACGCTGAGATTTATAATCCGATTTACGCGATTCCTCTTTAATTTGATGCAGAATAGTTGCCATTTGGTCCCATAAAAATTTAACATAGTTTGCCCTAGAAGTTTTCATGTTATGAACATTTGTACTACAATTAATTTAGTTTCACCTGCCCTTTTGTTTTTTGCAAATTAAATTTGATCCACTTCCCGGTTATCGGTTGAGCTGAAATTTAGTATACATATGTAAATCGCGTGACCAGACCACCTTCGAAAAGAAGGAAAGTGGTCTAAGAGAACTTCGCAATGAAACGACGCAACCCCATCGAGTTTTAGCTTGCTTGATTCGTTTGGGCGAGTACTTTATTTTTATATTGTCACCAGGGTTTGGTCTGATTATGGAGCTGCAAGATGGTCAAGCTGGTCACAGAAACTCTGTAATGAAATGACGCAGCCTCATCGAGTTTCGGCTTGTTTGATACGACTTGTAACCTAGTCATCAAAATCCTTATCCTTACTAATATCATAAACGCGAAAGTTTGTATGTATGGATGGATGTTTGTTACTTTTTCACGCAAATACTATTGAATGGATTTTTAATGAAACTTTACAATAATATAGCTTATATATCAGAATAAGACATAGGCATTTATATACATATTTTTATGTATATCTATCTTTCTGTCTGAATGTTACGCTTTCAGCTTATTCTACGTACTTATTCAGACGTAGTCGCAGGCAGCAGCTAGTTTTACTATATTTCAAGATGATCATCAACGACGTCTCCCACTTAGATTGTTTTGTTCTAGACGAATCTATCCTGCTCAAAGTCGCGCGCGGCGAGTGTAGGTACTATAATACGTTTGGCTTGGCACCGACTTCAAACCTATCAATAGGTAGCACATACAAATACGTATTTTATTAATATTAAAGGTATTGCGTTTGCATAAGGTTTTTGAAGCCAGTTTTCTTAAACGTCGTTTTTTTATAAATGTATCGGACACTGAATTGTTTAAGCTTACATTATTTTATGCAAATAAAGTTGTAGTTCGCAAGAACTCTCTTCATAAAAAAATTATAAGAGTAAATTTTCTTTTATCATCTGTATTCTGTAATCTGTTTTCTTTTAACATCTGTAGAATCAAAGAAGTCAAAAATTTACAATTTACATTTGTTTGATTTTTCAATCTTTAATTCTGATTAATAATATAGTGTTATGAATTCTTTTTCAAAATGCGTAAACAGTTGATAATAGTATAAAACGTTTTAGGACTTTTTCAAAGATAAAACTAGAAAATGGGCATGAATTTAAAGGAATTGTGTCGACTATGTGCAAAGGAAGACGAATTTACAAAAGACCTGTTACACGAAAGCAACCAGAATCTGCTCAAATTAATCAAAGAGTTTGTGCATATTGTTGTAAGTGTACATAAATAATGTAATACACGTCTTTATTAAAGAAAGTCGTCGACGATACTTACGATTTACTCTTTTAAACATACTTCTTTTTTTGCTTTTTAAGGTCAGTGATAATGATGACTTACCTACGAAGATTTGCCTGAATTGTGAAGAAAAAATGGTCGAATTTCAGTTGTTTGTTTTGGAATGTTGTAAAGTTCAAAATACTTTAAAAGATATATGTGGAAGTTTAAATATAAAAATTGAAGATGTTGAAGGTATAGAAGTTCCACTGATAAAATCTGAGGTATGTTGTTGTAAAAAAAAGTTTATGCCTTCTCTAGGGTTTAATTTTTAATAAAATAATTTGTTTTGTGTTTTTTAAGATTTGTTCAGTTTGCTAAAACAAACCATAGTTTATTTCTTTAGTACTCTTCACTAGTCTCTCTAGTGGTAAACTCTCTGTATATCATATTAACATATGCTATATAAAATACACATTTGTTTAATTATAAGTTTAACTGTGTCTCAAAAACTACTGAGCACTATTATGTTGGATTTCACAAACCAACACATTCTCTACATATTTCAGATAATTTTATGGTAGAAATAAGCTGTACACTAACAAATTTAGCTATAAAAGGTTATAAAATCAGTTTGTGTTGTATTTGGGCTGTTGCTATGTTATAAACCAATATTTATTTTGAAATAAAAAAAATTAAAAAATACTTAGTATTACTATTTTTATTTAAGGTTAAGGATGAGTCAATGCCTGAAGACATTTCATGTAAGTATGGTTTTAGTAAAAAGAACTTAATTTTATTTAAACTACACAATACATTTTTAAGTTAATATTCTCTTTTGTACAATTATAACATAATTTACAAAATTAAACAGGTGAAATAAATAATGGAGTTTTACTGTCGGACTTTGAAAGAGACGATGACCTAAATGATGATGAGGAGAAAGACGAAGTTGCTGGTGAAGATTATGAGGATGATGACTACCTTGATGATATATCAATAGCTTCCTTAAAGAAAATGAAACAGAAAAGATTTAAAAAGAAGCCATTGACTGAAGAAGAAGAAAATGAAGTTCAGAAAGTTCTAAAAAGTTCAAACTTTAAAGTTAAAGATATAGTTAAGTAAGTAAAAGCAGTTGATGGGATTGTTTTATTGAAGATTCTATACATTGAATAACTATACAAACATGACTATGGGGAAAAACGGCTGAATTCCTAAATCAGCTGAGGCTTTTGAAACTAAATTGGTTAGCTCCACTCTTCCGTGTATTATGCAAGCATACAATCATAGATGTAGTATATGTTTATAGTTACAAAGGTCATATTCAAAGAAACTTAGATGTTTTCATTTAATTTTCAGTTCCATTAAATAGTATAGATAAAACCAAAGCAATTTTTTTAAAATAAAATAACATTATTTTGGATTGGACAAAAGCACTCGGACAGTTTAGCTGCAAAGCATATTTTAAGAAAGCCTCATAATTAAAGATCAATTTATTCCAACAAATTATTTTTACCCTAGTATAAATGTAGTAGTACAGATTAACATGTTGTATATTGTTGGGAAGTAAGTTTCAACAACCACTGCAACCTGTAATACCTTTTATAGTCTTTCTTTTGAAAGCATTGTTCCATATTCTAGGATAACATTATCCGGTGGTAATTTATGTTTTACATACATTTTATGTGGACCCACATCCAGATCCGAAACAATTATCCATGGTTCGCACAAGTAGTTGTATGTTTTGGTAATGGAACTCACAGCCCCCGGCACCAAAGCAAATACCTAGAAATCATCAGTTTAATATGCTACATAAACATATGCTATCAAAGATATAATGAATTCAACAACAAATCAACATGGCGATACTAGGATAATTTGTCTTACCTTTCACCTTCCAGTTTTGTTGCGTATTATTATGAGTGATTTATTGGTAAATTATAGAATGAATATCACATAGTCATTTTTATTTGAGATTTTATATGTAGTTGGATATTGTTTTTATATATGGTTAATTTTACAATGGTGTAATAATATATTCCTTATATTATGACAATGACCTTATAATGACCGTATATATTTTGCAATATTTTGCTGTTTTTATTTTAAATGACTTTCTTTTGCTTCAGATTGAAATGTGATATCTGTGAGGAGTCTTTTAAGTCATGGAGTGCCCTTCGTGTTCATTATGCTAAAAGCCATAAAAGCAAGCCGCTTGTATTTTGTATATGTGGGTTTATCATCCGTTCCAAAAGTGTTCTCTATAAACATGTATCGGATCATAAAATAGAAAGTAGAAAATTAAGGAAAGATGCAGAACAAGACATGGAAAACCAAGAAGAATCTAAATACTCAAGCCTTAATGTTAAAGACTTTATAAAGTATTTATTTTAAATTTTACCTTTAAGTAAATTTTGCAAAGGAATTATGTAAATTTAAATATGTTGTTATCTTTTAGTTTTATATGCAAAAAATGTCAAAAAGAGTGTTCAAGCTGGTATACACTGAAGTCACACACTCAAAGGGTGCACAATATCTTACCTGTTGTAAATTGTATCTGCGGGATCACACTTAAGTCTAAATCATGTATGTACAAACATGTTCAAGACCATAAGCAACCAAATGTTTTAGCGTGAGTATAATTTCTTTTATCTCTAACTACGATTTTAAGTGTCATTTTCTTTTTACATGTCACATTGGAACTTTGTCTGCATTTCGTATGGGATGAGATATGAGAGTAGCCCTCCCCTTTTGTAATAAATTAAAAAAACCTATATTTTTTGTGACTGTTTTTTGTTAATTTTTTTCATTACAATTTGTACCGATATTTTGTAATTAAGTGATAATAATCATTTCATCCTTTTCCAAAAGCCTAATTTCATTAATTTACATTTTTCATATTTCAATTGTTACAGATGCGATAAATGTCCAAGAATAACAAAGACTATAGAGGCATTAAACAAACACAAAATGAGACACATACCAAAGTCGGAGAGGAGGTTTACTTGTTCTTCGTGTAACAAAACTTTCAATAACAAAGACACACTGAAATCACACGAAAGATCACACATACCAATAGAGGAGAGGAAAATATTTTGCTGTGACCAGTGTGATTTGAAGTAGGTATTTAAAAAAATACTGCAAAAGATTTTTCTTAATAATAAAATAAAGTACTTTTAGTCTGTTATGCTAGGTCTGCAGATGTCAACACTATGCTGGTGGTCCTTTTAAAGACAGCTTTACTTAAGACACATTTGTATCATAAATATACAACCTTAAGAAATAAGTCTCAACATTAACAAAATCGTGAATTTAGTGCGATATTGAGTCTGAAACAAATTTGCAAGCTACATACAGTATTGTTGTTTTCTACTGTTGATGTTACTTACTTTTTTATGAACTTCCCATTTCCGAATTGTCAGTCCGATCGCCTCTGGTGGCAACTTGTAATGCAGTGAAAGGTGGTATTCACACTAGCTCAAAAAATGCCTATTGAGTATGAATGTAGATCATCTGAATAGGCCCTCATACGTTCGCTGGTCATGGAATCGTGTGCGGTTAACTCACAAGATTAGAGTATGAGTCTATTTGGTTTGAATAAAGACTGTCACTCAAGGACCCATTAGGGTACATAATAGTGATGCACTCTTAAAAGCCCAAATAGCCCAAAGAAAAAAAAAAACTAGCTGACAAAATACCCTAAAACGTTTACCGTCCGAGTATGCTCTATACCAGTAGTATTCAACTTTTTTTTTCATAAGGGCAACAAACGCCTAACGTGTGGCGTCCATACACATCTAGCGTATGCGTGCAACAGGTTCCCAAAGAGCCCATACGTTTTTAATACTTATCGTCTTAAAATGCCCTAACAGTAGTGGATGCGTGTGCGTGTAACTCGCGCAACACCTGTAGCGGCTACCTCCTTCACCAGACGAAACGCAGAAGGGTAACACTTTTACTTTACGCCGGTGTTCTGTAAGTCGTGGTACTAACACGTTCACAAAGAACCCATACGTTTTCAATGCTTATCTTGTGAAGAGGCCTTAACAGTTTAGTGGATGCGTGTGCGTGCAACACATACCCGACGAGCCCATACATTTTAATGCTTACCGTCTGAAGAGGCCTTAACAGTAGTGGATGCGTGTGCGTGCAGCAGGTTCCCAAAGAGCCCATACGTTTTCAATGCTTACCGTGTGAAGAGGCCTTAACAGTAGATGATGCGTGTGCGTGCAACACATTCCCAACGAGCCCATACATTTTGAATGCTTACCGTGTGAAGAGGCCTTAACAGTATAGTGGTTGCGTGTGCGTGCAGCACACTCCCGACGAGCCCATACATTTTAAATGCTTACAGTGTCCAATGTTAACAGGTTCACGACACGCTCGTCGGCCGCGTCGCACAAGCGCGTGGTGCACGACAAGATCAAGAGCTACGTGTGCGACCTGTGCGGATACGCGTGCGGCACCAACGGCGAGTTGCGCCAGCACCGCGCCATACACAGCGACGACAAGCCCTACGAGTGCAGGAAGTGCTCCAAGCGGTGAGGCACACTATTTCCGATAGACTTCAAAAAAGAACGATGTTCTCATTTCGATTGTTTTTTTTTGTGTTTGCAACCTCGGAACTTGACTATTCGACTGAGTGCGACAATTTTGATGATTCTCTTTTTATTTGAATGCCAAACCATATTAATTTCATTGGTAATGGATCTTGAGCTCCGGAGATACTTAGGGAAGTCCTGAAATTATGAAATGAATACAGAGCGAGATATTTCAAGTCGGTTTCGTTTTCCGTTAATAAAATAATTTATATTCTATTTCCAACATTGAACAAAAAGTAAAATAATAAATACATACATATATAGATGATCCACTGCTCGGTAAAGGTGTCCGTACGGAGGGTATTAGGGCATAGTCTATCTCGCGGTAAAAAAACCGATTCTATTGATTTAATAAGAGTATGTTAGGGTTGTCACAAATTAGTATCTATCTAATGGTGAACATAATATTATAATTTAAAATGTAATCATTGTTTTCGTAAAAATGGGGTTTTATCTTTTTGCAATGCGGACCTATTTCAGTTTATTACCCTTTCGCCACTTTACTGGAACCTTCTGCAAGGGGCAAGTATTGGTAGGCTTACGCCCGATTTCTATACACTGATCATCGTAGAAGTCAACTAATCAGCTGTCGAATGAATTTTCAAATATTACTTGAGTTGCCAAAAGGATTGTTAAACCATTTGAACTGATCATTCTGATCATTAAGAAGATCACTCTGATAGCGATTCCATATTCAATGACGCTATTTTTCTCAACAACCAAATAAACTTAAGAAAACGGTAAAAATAAATCTAAAGTAAAACGGTAACAATAACTATGTTGTTAATAAAAGGCTTGGCATATTTATCAATTTCCTGAGTCGTATAAATGAAACTTCTCGCTGTTTTAACATTAAAATATCTCGCACAGAAAAGTCTACAGCAAGTTATTGTTGAAACGTGGACAATACTTCACAGTTAAGCGGGAATTTCATTGTTTATAGAGAAAAGAAACCGTAAAGTAGGTTTAGCGTCAACCGAGTGAAACGCATCCAGACTTAGCGTGCTGGGACTTGCGTTGAATGAAAGTTGCCAACAATGCTCCCAGACATTTTAAAGGCGTAGTTTTCAAACATGACGATGCCGCAAAGAAAACTGTAGGATACTCTTTTGTTTTGTTCGGTACAAATAGACTATTATTAATGATGAACTACAAATATTAAATGAAATAAGTAGTATTGTTACTTCTTTAAACAAGTTAAATAGTAGTTTTTGCTTTTTAATTTTATGAACTGGAATTATATTTCCTGTTGCAACCGAAGACAATTACCATAATATCACTTGCCCAGAGATAGCACCATGTCATCACCACAAGTTATATTCGTTTTATTCTTAATACCCATTCCATAAAACAAACAGCAGTGTATGAGAACGGATATTTATTTCATGAACTTTTTTTTCAAATTCATAAAAATCTGATTATTGTCCAAGCCGGGATGTTCCTCCGTGTTGTTTTTTTTATTTGAAAAAGTGGCAAACGAGCTGGCGGTTCACCTGATGTTAAGTGATAGCCGCCGCCCACGGACATTTGCAACAACTGTAGCGGCTACCTCCCTCACCAGACGAAACGCAGAAGTGTAACACTTCTACTTTACGCCGGTCTTCTGTGAGGTCGTGGTACTAACACGGACGGACCTGCCCATTCGTGCACCTACTTCCGTGTTCGTTGGACATTCCAAATCGGGATGTCTCGATGTCGGACGGATTGTCGTTAATTCGCTTGCCCTCAGATTCAAGACGTACTCAAACCTGAAGACGCACGTGGACACGCACGAGGACACCTCTTATACCTGCTACGTGTGCAGTCGAGTGCTGAACAGTCGCCGCACTCTGCGAAAGCATTTGCTGGTTCACGAGGACAGATGTCGCCACGTCTGCTCATACTGCAACAAGGCCTTCAAACGCAGACAGACCCTCAAGGTCCGTATCTCTTCACCTCCAATTTATTGGCCCACACCAATATAATATGCCTAATAGAGAAACATAATGTGCAATGGTCGACCTTTTGTTTAGCTTAGTGACATACTTTCCATTGGTATGCCATACATGCCGTTTTTTAATATACAAAAAGTTTTTTATTATGATATCAACGAACGCATAACTGTCAATGACAGTGTCAGTCATGCCAATACTTCCTGTGACTACGACTTGTGACTCATCCAAACACAAACGAGCTATGGCTCACGATAAATTTTTCTTTTATAGAGGGTTTTAGGTCACATATTATATCCAAAAGCCCGTTGTGGATAGTTAGGTTATACGGGTCACCAACATGTGAACAAGCAATTCTTTCATTTTTTTTTAATGTGAAAAGTTGCCAAACGAGCAGACGGTTCACTGATGTTAAGTGAATACCGACGCCCATAGACATCTCCTATACCCGAGGGTTTGCAGATGCGTTGACAACCTTTTTGGAAATTGGGCTCCGGCTACCTTACTCACCAGACGAAACGCGAAAGTATTTGTCATACTTCCACTTTACGCTGGTCTTCTGTGAGGTCGTGGTACTTACCCGGACGAGCCTGCCCATTCGTGCAACAGCTCTACCACCGTTAAAAATTCAAATTGAATGTATAATAATAATAAATTTGATTTTGACATGTATTGGATGGAATTGAATGAAGAAATTGCTATGGTAGAGCCGCACGACAGCCTCTGCTGTTGCACGAATGGGCTAATTCGGGTACGACTGCACGTTCGCAGAATAGCTCCGGCATGGACGTACTTTTGGTTAACCAGAGCCCACTTTTTGTTTTTGTTTTTATCCAAAACCCAGCTAGTGCTACCATCTCACCTGGTGGTAAGTAAGGTGTCATTTCAGATGGTAAACACATTTGCTCAGTAACAGCCCATTCACTCTTGCCTCGGAGACACTCTTAATGGTTGTTAACTCATCAACAACCCTACCGGTGATGTAAATTTCCATGGACGGCGGTAACCACCTAACATCAGTTGCCATATTACAGTCGATTATTATAATATATAAGGGGTATTTCATTCGAAGCAGACAGGTAAAAAATGTTGAAGTTTTTGATTTTAGTATGATTTTAATAAGTTATACCCATATGTCCTCAATCCGGATACTAAAAATTTTATAGTGTAAAATGTAGTTAACCATTAAACCTGTATTAGTATTAGAATCATAAATAAAGCAGTTAAATTTATGCTTCAATTAATGAGATAGAGAAATGATAAAATATAAAATATCGAGAATACATTTAAAATAAATAATTTTTTGGAAATAACTTTTTTTTTAAAAAAATCTTAACTAAACTTTTAAAACGTATATAGTTACGTTAACATAGGTACAATATAATGACAATAATATATATCGTTATAAAATAATCAAATATAAAAAAAAAATTCGGAAACATGAACATTTACTACTTTTCCGCTTCACGTGTAACGCCATTGACGTAACGTCGATTCCCGACTGTGACGCACAGGTGCACATGTACATGCACACGGGCGACAAGCCGCTCACGTGCAAGTGGTGCGACGAGCGGTTCGCGTACGCGTCGACGCTGCGCTCGCACCGGCTCCGCTGCCACGCGGACAAGCTCGCCGCGCACACGAACGGGGGGCCCAACTACGACGCCATCGCGCAGGCGCTGCACCACGTGAGTGTACATGCCCTGCACCAAGTGGCACGGAACAAAGTCGTCCCGCTGTCTGTCTGTCTGTCCCCACGCACGCTTACATCTTTAAAACCACGCAACGGACCTCGATGCGGTCATTTTACTGGATAGAGTGGTTCAAGAGGAACGGTTTGCATGTATATTACATTGCACCCACGCGGGGCCGGGGCGGGTTGCTAGTTTCAAATGAATCTCTCTCGTTTCGACGTATTTCATCCGTGAAGATCCCTGTGTCGCCCTCATTCGTGATTGTTTATTTTTAATGCACCTTTCTCGTTATGATATATACCATCCATGATTTCCCGACTGCCATTGTGGACAGTGAATGGGTCTCTTGCGCGAGTGTGTGTTCGATCCCCAACTACTGGAACAATATTGTATGATGTTCATGGTGTTTTATGGTGTTTGGGTCATATACAAGCTTTCTGTAGTTTGGGTAAAAAGATATTCTGGAAAATATTTATTTATTTATTTAATATTTATTTTTGGTATCGGAGGGGGGGGGGGGGGAAGATACCGAGTTATTCTGTGACAGGGATATGTGGGGCTCTTACCCACTAAAACCCCGTGGCCTCGGTGGCCACCTGTACGTTTGGAAGGAATCCGGGATCACACCTCGGAGAAGGATAAACCTTTCCCGATTCCCTCGCCATCCTGCAGCAGGTCGAGGTCACTTCGTGCTGCTGCCTATCCATGTCCCCTTTTAGTCGCCCTACAGGGTTAATTTATTTATTCCCTGTATCGTTGGGGCTTTATTGGTGCTGCGCGAATAGTCCCTGATTTCCTTGGCTGGGCTTACGTGTTAAAAATCACGGGCAGTACACTGGGATTCGAAAGAGTTGAAGGCATTGTGAAAGCAACGGCGGCCCAGTGACAGTTGCAGACCTAAGCCGTCAAGTTAAACTAGCTAATTAGTTATCATTTTCTGGCACTGAGTAGGTAAATAGTGAATAGTATTAGTTAACACTGAGGTTATTAGACTTTGATCAATGTCGCTCCTATTCCTTCCGCCTTTGCATGAAAGAAATCAGATTTGATCCGTACCACGTGAATTTGAATGCGCAATCTTATATTGACTCGTGAAACGACTAATTTATTGAGACAAAAAACTGATGACCATTTACTAAAAACAGCACAGTAATTTTAAATTCTTCAAACGTAAGGTGGAGTTAAGTTCTCGTATCTGTTAACAAAAACATGTGGTTGTATATTTTACCGGTTCGTGTTTAAATTCGTTTAATGAATAATTTACCTGCGTTTTATATTCACTGAGAAATTTGTTTCGTTGAGAAAGCTTGTGTATTAACATAAATATCAGTGTTACCTAACATACTATATTTACATGCATATTAATTAGTAATTCTTTCTATCTTTTCAGGAGTTTCTCAAGAATGATCCAACAACGAATGTAACAAAGATAGAAGGGGAGGCTATTTAATGTTTCTTTATATTTCCAAAGCATAATCATCGTCCAAACGAAATCTTTTGATTTGTTTGCGGAATATGCGACGATACAATTCATCATCACTTTGAACAAATGTTTACCTTACTCTTCAGTGTTTGAACAATCCAAATTGATCACAATCAACTTAAAGGAGTCGTGAATAGTGTTGCCATTACCTCACAAGCTTAGACTATCGAAAGCAATAGAGAAAAATAAATAAAATAAAATTAATTTTAAACTGAAACTATTTTAAACATTTTATCGCGTTCAATTTTATGCTGGCTTTTGATTGGTATTCTGTGACCATAGATACTGTAAAGTCCTCGAAACGTAGGATCTTTAAAAACGAATGAAATCTCATAAAATCGGTATAACAGTTTGATTTCATATTTTATTTACTTTTTATTACAACTCATAAAATCCAGAAATGTTAAGGGAATGCCTACTGCATTATATTCCAGCATATTATATTTCCAGCATATTATATTTCCAGCATATTATATGTCATCTATTCGAAGATGCATCACATTACCACGAAACAAAACAATAGCACACATTGCCTGGAAAGGTTAAGTTGAAACCATAAATTTTCATAATAAAATGGCAGCACTATTCAGAAGTTATAAAATCGTATTATTAATGTTAATTTATATCACTTTTAAGCGTTTAATTTAGAAATGTTGTAGGTAGTACTGAACCAATTGTAGATATTAATATTTTTATACAACATCATAAGATATTCATTAAGTGAAATTAAGACGTCGTTCTCCGTTGTGTATTGATATGGGATACAAAACCTCTTAGTTAGCATAGTTATTTGTCTATTGAAGTTGCCTATGGAAATTTTTACAAGTTTACTGTACGTACATATAAGCGTAGAAGTTTGTTTCATAAATAAAAGATTTATATTAATTGTGCGTTGTTTAAATTTCTACACCAAAAGCCTAGTTTTAGCTTACATAGCTAATTAATCTTTTTAAACAGATATTGAAGAAGGTAAGGCTACGCAACAGTGTTCGCTATTGCACGAATGGGCAAGCCCGTCCGGGTAAGTACCACGACCTCACAGAAGACCGGCGTAAAGTAGAAATGTTACACTTCTGTGTTTCGTCTGGTGAGTGAGGTAGCCCGGGCTCACTTTACAAAAAGGTGGCAACGCTACGGGTTTTGCAAATGTCCATGGGCGGCGGTAATAACATAACATCAGGTTAACCGCCATAACAATAATTACCACACGTAAATGAGGAACAAATTCACGCCACGGTGATTACCACCGCCGTTCTACACCAAATACACCGAAGGGTAGGTACATGGCTAATCTTTAAAGCGATAAGCATGTTTATTTCACGTTAAAAATCCATATACTAAAAAATACAAATAAGTTCTCACGCATGAGCTCCTTATCAAGCTCGTGGGATATGGCTATTCCAAGACGAAACTACGATCAATGAAGTTCTAATAGTCTACGATATGAAAGCAAAAACATCAAAGTAAATAAAATATAAATACTGTTACTTTACGCCTCTTATGGGTGGCCATTGTATTTCTAGTAGATTCGACCCTCCACGCAGCCGCCGTAGCTTCCGTATGACACCGTAAATTAGTTTAAACGAGTTATGTTTGTTTGCAGTATTTCCACCTGGAATAAATCTACTACCAAATACTCCAAAAAAGGTGCATACTCGTGTAAATTTCGCGCCTTGTTAGTGGTCATACATAGAACGTACCCAGTAGAAGGGCTCAGTATTCGGAAGAGCTCGCCCAGTTTCACACATCCACCAACTATTCCATATTATGTTCTTATCACCATTGATTACTTAAAACTTCAAGAATTTTATCAGCGTGTGAATGTATTTTGAGACGCTTGACGTACTTTAAAATTGAAATATGATTTTATATAAAGGATAATTTTTGTTAAAACGAATGGATTAAATGGCTCGTCTGGGTAAGCACTACGATCTTACAGATGGGCGTGAAGCGGAAGCATTCTACTTTTTATGCAAACCGTTGTGAGTTGCAGATGGCCATGGATGGCGGTTATTTATTTTTAATTATTTATTCTTTATTGAAAACACCTCAAAGGGGTATTGTCTATTGGTATTCTACGGTTATCACTTACATAGATTGTTGACATAATAGATGTTAAAAAAAATTCTGGATTTTCTAATTAAAAGTGAATTACCGTATTAATTTTACAATTTATTTTAAACCCAATAAGGTTAAATCGTATTAAAACCTATGGAACGTCATCAAATATAAGTCTCAGTAAATAATTGGAATGCTCTCAACTCAAAGAAGCGTTGAATTCTCTACGCTACAGACGTAAATAGGGTGCGTCAGATTATGCTCTATCTGCGATGCAGTCACTTACGTAATTAGTTGTTGTTCCTTTTAGTAGTTAGTATTGCGTACGTTACGTATACTTCTTTGCTACTTTGTAGCGAGCATTCATATACAACAATGAATAATACGTAGTATGCGTCTCACTAAAAATTAAAGACGCGATAGTAGCAATGTAGCAAGATATAACTGTCATAATGAGTAGAAATAAAAATAACTAATTAAATAAAAAAGCATTACTGCGTATTATTTATGTTTATATTAAATTGAAAACATATACGCTAATCATCTATGAGACAGTGGTACTTTCCCTGTCGGATTGGCATATTTATGCAGCAAGAACTGTTACGTAAAGTGTCGCATTACCAAGTAAAAATTATAAAAATATATACAGGTGCAGTCATTCTGCCGCTTATGGAGTAAAGTAAGCTAAAATACAGTATTGTAAGGAAAATTGAAAAGATAATGAAACCGAGTAAATTCAGCAAAAAGCGGTTCAGACAGATGGAAAAAATAGATGAAAAGTACTATAGTAACTAACAGAAATCATTTATGGCTTAAGATTGAATTGAAATCTGTAGAGGACGCGCTTAATACACGTACAGAAAAAAAAGTGTTTTAAAAGTTTGCGAGCACTATCAAAAGTTGGTATATTTTTAAAATCTATTTTTATCAAGTAAAATATTTTATGATATGTCTTTCATAAAAAAAACACACTTTTTGAAATTAAAAAATAAATAATTCATTTTTTAATAACAAAAATTGAATTATGCAATCATAATGCATTTGTAACTAAAATGTAATGTTAAAAAAGAGGGTTAAATCAAACTTATAGAAAATTTATTAAGGCAAGGTTTTCATATAATACAAAATAACTCCTCTCCTGGCTCGAACACATGCGGAGATCAAGTTATCCAACATTTTTTATAGTAACCTGTCCTATTTTTGAATAGCGGCTACCCTGAACTCCTGCCCTGTCTGGGGACATGGCTGATGATTTCAAAGCTTGAGTGCATCTTACGTGTAGAGCACACGGGCTTAAGTCAAATGGAGTAACGTGCCAGTATAATCTTGTGTTGTTGTATTCTCGGAAAGCATCTTTGAAGTCAACGTGCAGTCGCATTATAATCGCCCCGTACTAACAAGTGCCTATGGTTTGCTCTAAATGGTCTGACAATTACATCAATGGCGACTGTTTTGTACATAACGACAGTCATAGAGCAATCCAATCACCTTCCACACCAAAGGGACACCGATTTATAGATACCGGTTCCAGTGGAAGTTATTTGCACTGTGACCAATTGTGACAAATGTTTTCCTCTTCTTCTTAATTTTGCCTGTGCTTAGCCTATTGCGTCGCTGTAGTTGCCGTGAGTTCAGAGGGGCTATCAGTAATCTGATATAACGTTTTTGAGTATCAGTCAGAACAATTAGGCGACCATGGCGGGGTCGAACATCTAAATTATCCATGCCGTGGTAGGTACATCTGTAACTTGGTTACAACTTACGAAACAGGATTAACATACACCAACTCTGGGTGCTATTTCTCTGGTAGAATATAGGTCTCTTTACGGTGGTAGGGCCACGCAGCAGCCTGGGCTGTTGCACGAATGGGCAGGCCCGTCCGGGTATGTACCACGACCTTACAGAAGACCAGCGTAAAGTGGAAGTATGACAAATACGTTCGCGTTTCGTCTGGTGAGTGAGGTAGCCGGAGTCCAATTTTCAAAAGGTTGTCAACGCATCTGCAACCCTAGGGTGTAGCAGATGTCTATGGTCGGCGGTATTCACTTACCATCAGGTGAACCTTCTGCTCGTTTGGCAACTTTCACATAAAAAAAAAAGAATATCCTTCGTACCTCAAAAGTTAAAATTCTTGCTAGTAATTTTTTTTACCATCTTTTGACATTGTTTTAATCAACAATTTATTGGAAAAATATAAATTAAAACCATCAAAAGTGACAAGTTATATGTTTAAATGAGCGCAAGTTAGGATTTAATTCCTTTTTATATAGAAAAAATAATTGAATTCCCGTATTGTTTTATATTCAGATTCTAAATTTATAAATACAGAATGCAAAATAAAAGAAATTTTAATCATATTCCACCGTAACCAAAAGATTTAAATTTTTCAAACTGATTGTAGGCTTTTTTTCTTTGTGTGTACATCGGTATATTAGTAGAGTAACCGATTTGGATGGGTCGTATATGTACTGAGAGACAACTAAGATATAATTGTCAAGTGTTATTATAGAAGTATGAATGCGAAAGAGGCATTTACGTACATAAGGCAGTACATGTATCATAAAAAGAGAACATCCCTAGCCTGTGAGTGAAACTTGAATGATTGTGTACTTATGTGCTTAATTTTAAAAATAATCTGCTGCAAGGCGGTACAAACTTTCTTTCTGTTTGATTAAAGGTTGCTATAATATTATAAATTTGATATGCATCTTGAGAGCAATAACAATGCAACGAGATGAACACTTAGAAGTCAGTGTATTGGAACGGAGCCATTAATAAGAGGCGCGTCCCGAGAGTGTTCCACATAGAATAGAGGAAGCAGACATTTTTTGAGGCTTTATTGGCGATGGATCCACGCGTGAGATACCAGCCTTCACGAGAGTGCTGGCGTGTCGCCAATCGCCCGCACTTGGCTATTTTTATTACATAACACTGAAAGCGAAACTTTGGTTGCATCACTGCCGCTTTTTACAATAAAACTGTAGCGATTCTTGCAATACTCATCGAGTAAGGTTACAGATTACAGAAATAGATAAAATTGACATAATGGAGATACGAGCTATTCTTGATGCATTGCATTCTGATTTCGCTGATGATGATACAAAACGTATTTGCTATTTGAGGAGTTGGTTGTTAATATTCAAAAATATTTCACAACCCGAATTGCGTTATGATGCGACTATATACCCTCAAGTCGGTCCTAATATTCTTTTTTGATCGTCTTCTGCAAGGTAAGGGATTCAGAAGAGATTAAGGCTTTAAATCGAATGTGATGGACAGCGTAGAGTGCGATTATTTTAATACGATCTTTTAGATCCGTACCGGGCATAATAAATTCAATAATCCTAAAGTCGAGATTCAAATTGAATTTTGTACTGATTATACATACATTCGCAATGTCCTCTTAGTATCAATACGCTTGAAAAACTGTGGCTTGATCAGTAAGATAAGTGGTTGGTTTGGTTTTTCCTGATTTTATAGCTTTCAGTCCGTAGACAAATAAAACTTTATTGAACGCACAAAAAATCCCGTGGGCTAGCCATAACCTACGAGTTTAAAATGCTTGTTAGTCTTCCTCCTTTCATTGACTGATGTTGGCGCTTTCAGTCCGTAGACTCATAAAGCTTCCTCGAACACAGAACCAGTTGGTCAGCCAGAAAGACCCCTCGAGTTTGAAATGATTTATGTTTGTACGTTTATGTTTTAACTGCGTTTATGTTAGCGTTTTAGTCCGTAGACTATTATCCGTAGATTAGTTTTTATTGCTAGTTTTTTTTATAAAATGAGGGCTTTACCGGATCTATTTATTAACATTTATTTAGAACCACCGGGCTTCAGGTGGCCGGGCTCTGAGGGCCCTTAGCCTGTATCTCGATTTTGATTGCTAAAGTATACAGTCGGGAGTAAAATCGAGTAAGGATACAGTGGTTGTGGGTGCGCAAGGGTGCGGGGGTGCGGCGAGTGCGGGCGAATCGCCGCGGCCGCCCTCAGTGCCACGGAGGCTGCGGTCGACTTTGCTACCCGCCCGCCTCGCGCGCCACCGCCTAAACAACATCTTCTATGTCAATCACAAAGCTAATAAATGATATACAAATATTATCTTTGACTCAGCATTACACAAGTTTCGCGCTTTTGTAAGATCCTCAATGGAGAAAGCTACGTATCGCGATCTTGTGAGAAATACGACACAATAAGGATTATCAGTTCGCATTTAGTGTCAACACGAGATGAACTTTACCATTTAATCCTGTGCGGTGTATCCAGCCGTATGTATAGAACAATCGATGTAAATAAGGATTATTAGATCGCGTTGGATACTTATGTAAGTATTTTATAATTTATTTTTATCAACATGCATGTAAATATTCCAAAATAACTTATTCTTTGAATTGGGATATGTGTTTATATTTACTTCGTAATTTTTGCTTAACACTACCAGCAGAGCTTAAGTTAAATATGCTCTCAAAGTCTTTTTATTTAAATAAGTCGGCTCGGAGCTTAAAGAAAAATTTGAAATCTATATAAAATTATTGATTTTCAAATTAGCAAATAATTATTGATAAGATGCATAATTCTCTATTATTCAATAGTTGTAGTTGTTCTTGAGAATAGTTTACCCATTTCCTTACAATTGTATGAAACTAAACATAAACTGACCCTTATAATTTAAAACAATTTTATGTTTAATTAAACTATACATACACAGATGTCTTATATTTACAATAATTTCAATAACAATAATGACCTTTAGCGTGTTCTATAATATTACAAAAAAATATTTAAGGTTTAAATAAATGACTGAAATATTTATGAAACAGGTTTATTAAAACTACGTGCGTATATATACGATAATTTATAGATATTGATGATTTATTGTATATTTTTATTTTTTATAAATGCAAATTGGTTAGTAAAGTTCACTTGGAGCATGTCCTCCGATTTGAAGAGGGTCGCCATCGAACCGAGAGCCCTACAGCCTGTCCAATTATAGATGTTTTGACTTAGAAGTGCCTTCTCTTCTGTCTTGGTTATTAAGAACGAAGACTTCATTTTAGATGTTGGTATTAGCTATTATCAAACTAGGTGTGTGGTACCGTAACCGTTTTTATATCATGTGCATTTGCTGACTATACTACTTTGTTTTAACGGTATCATATTCTCACAGAAAATGTATTTTGACAGGGTCTGCTATGAACTATAAAAGAAGTCCCAAGTAAAACGAAATATAAACTTAAAATATCGGAAATAAAACTGCATTTAGACAAGCGTCATATAGGATACTAAAACATGGGAAACTTGCCGTTGCGTAAGTTGATGTTCACCTCAATCATAATATTCGCAATTGTAAGCTTCGGCGTCAACTTCTGCGAGGCGTCTTCTCAGATTGCGAAAGAGGTTGAGACGCTAACGACTATATTCTCACCACCGACCACGGATATGCCAGCATCGACACAGTCGAGTGCTAAACAATTAAACTCCACACTGCCTTTGTCAACTGCGACATCGACAACAAAGGGTAACGTCAACGAAACAATAGCGACGGCCAAGAGCACAACAACCGCACGGGGCACAAAGGCGCCAACGGAAGCTGAAACAAAGAGCCCAGTGAAAAGTGCAAGAAAGCTAAACGCCACTAGTGCTTTCAGTGGCGTAGCGCATTCCCCGCCGCGGTTTCAAGACCACTTGGCTGCCATAGATTGCGATCTGCCGTTGTTGCCGCGCGAATCTCGCCTGTGGCGTGGCAACGAGACCCATGAACTGAACTTACCCGTGACGGTGAGTAGTCAGTTATGCAATACAGTTAAACGTAATTCGCATTGGGCAACTGTAGCAAATATTAATTTTGTTAGAATAATTTCGTGTTTAATACAGTTTTTTAGTTTTATTTCGTGACGATAACAATTTAAAGTATAGCCGTGTGACATTGGTTCGATTCCTAAATATATTTTTTGTTTGCGCTAAATATGATTATTGCGGGACGATCTGTTTGTCTTTGTTTAATTTGTGTTTGTTGTTTGCACAGTCGTCTCTACAACATACGATAGTCTCATTTTTCAATCGGCGTCAAATGCGGAAAAACGGGGCAAACATGTTCAACAACGAGTTATATAAACTTATGACCTGAAACAGATCCATTTTTACGTATCAAAAGCTTTTCATACTTTAATTAGAACTTTTACCATAATGTTCTTATTAAAACAGAACTCACTTCAGATCTACGTTGCTTTTGTTTGCTTAAGTTTAGTTACAGAGTTTTAACTTTTGAATATAAATTATATTAAGCATTTATGGTCTAATATAGATTATTTTAATATCCCATAATCATACCATTGCTTGCACCTTCATTGGGTAAGCTAGTTATATATATTATAGAAATATTTTAAGTATCAAGTGGTGCGTAGCGTAGAAAGTACGTTAAAAAAAAGAATAAAAACGAAGGCATAAAATGCAGAAAGATGCCAGACTTCTGATTATCACGCTCAAGTTTTCATTTATTTTAAATTGAAATCGTGCCTCATTGATAGTTATAAAATGTTTAGTATTAATTGTGCTAGGAGTAGGACCACGCAACAGTCTTCGCAACGGTCTGTTGCACGAATGTTGAAGCGAATGAATTATACTTCTGCGTTTCGTCTGGTGAATGAGGTAGCCGAGGCCCACTTTATTAAAAGATGCCAACGCATTTGCAACCCTACGGGTGGTGAACATGTCAATGTGTGGAGGTTAACATAATGTGAACCGCCAAGTCATTTGCCACCTTCTCACATAAAATGTCAATACTCGTAATAATAAAGCATCGGGATAGTTCGTTGTGAATAAATTGACGATCTGAATTTCAAAACGATCATATTCCGTGAAAGTGTATTATTCCTAATTGACAAGCTCTGTCTCGATATCAGATAATGATGTTTACATCAATATGTGATATTAGGAGTCTGATAAATATTTCAATGAAAAAATAAATGACAATCACAATTCTTACATATATATAGAGCTTATAAACGCTTTTGTAAAACCGAATAACACTATGTAACTTTGAATAGTTTATGCTAAATTGAAACAAAAATTAGTTAACATAATTTGATTAAATAGAGAATTAGCTGTCACGAAATGTAAAGAAATGTACACGAAAAATGTTATAAGATTTCTGTGAAATTAGACACAAACTAAAAAACGTAAAAAAAGATATACCTATACAATCATAGGAATAAAATCTGTATACACTTATAAGTTTGATTACATAATATCATATCTGAAATAGGACAGTTGGTAATTCGAAAACTGTGTTAATTGCCAAATTGGCTAACAGCTCGATTACGTTAATTCCAAAAGGCATCATGCCTTCGAGTAACATATTTATTTTACTCTTGTAAATTCTACGCGTTGGTACATTTTGGTTTAGAGATTTTAAATTTCTATCATGACTTTTTGATTACATGAATATTAATTTATTTTATTCGATCTGTTTTATTATGAAATCTTTTAAAAAATTATTATAAGGTAAATACTTTTTACAAACATAATTTAACAAAAAAAATATATTTATTTATAGTTACGTCATACGTCACTTGTTAAGGAAGGCGTGCGAAAACCTTTTCCATTTATCATACATACAACACAAATTTGTATCCATCTAACAAAAAGTACACGCATTATTTAACGTAACACGTTCCTGTTGCCTAAAGCTTAGCGAACGCGAATAACTCTGGTAGATGTTTTCGAGGAAACCGTATTTCAGAGAAAATATAATATTCTTGTTTACGTAAGTTTGATCGTGACAGAAGCAGGGGCACGGCGAGGTCGAATACATAAACCATAAATCATTTTAGCATCGGAGAAAAGGGGAACGTTTTCCGCTTCGATAGTTGAACTCTTTCCTTAATATATTGTCTTCCCGATGCACATTTATTAGTCCCCAAGGTTTTCTAAGAACGTGCATACTTATTTATTTAAATATTGTTCTAATAAATGTCGCACTCTCTGAAAATTATTGCCTAAGACTGCGGCGAGTCTAAAATGTTCTCTGGAGCTTGTCTTGGATTTTGATTAGTAGGTGGCTCGTGCCAGTAATATTATAACGAGACTACTGTAAGTATACTGTTGTTAGAACTTTTTGTATGTATAACTTTTTGCTAATTTCCTTTTATATGTGCTACGTTGAATCAAAATTCGTTAGTATCTTTAAAAGATGATTATGGTGAATATTTCTGTTAATATCAGCTACGTTTTCATTTATTTTGTTGTACCTTTTTAGTTCACTTCTTATTAATGATTTGAACAAGCGTTATTTTTAACCTTAAGCAATTTTACACACAGTTACAGTTTTCACAATTAATACAGATGTACTTATTTAATTTTCTTCATTATAATGTTATAAATAGCAAAATATATGAATATTGATAATACAGTTGTGTAGCGTGTTACAGTTAGAACGTTAACGAAGGTTGACATCATAATTAATGTGTGTGTGACTTTGCGGTGTGGATGGAGGAGGATTGCGGGGCTGGGCGGGGAGGGGCAGGTGAGGAGGAGTGCCCCCCGGTCATCGTGTCGTGGGAGGCCGCCGCAGATATCCAGAGCGGAGACATTCTTATCGTGCGAATTGTGGACTCCCTACTCCTCGACAGCTTCGGTCACGTCGGCTCGAAGAATGAAACCGAAGAGTCGAATTCTGTCCACGGTTCCAGCGAGAGGTAGGTATATATCTCATAATTAAGTTTATCCAATAAAACGTTGTACGGAAAACATGGTCAATTGCGAGTCACGTTTATGAGGGATCAATGTATATTTAATTCTGAGTTTCTTTCGCCGGTTCTGTTCTATTCCGAACCGGTGGTAATGTTTTGACAGTCACTAAATAAGTGTAATTTGAATTTGAGCAATTTTGATTAAAAAAAATTCCCCTTGACACATATTGTCCGTTTTCTGTGGACATCAATATACATATTTCTAATATGTACATATTTCGGGTCTTTAGATGTTATAATAATTTGTATCATTTTACAAAATGTTGTACTTGAAAGTCCTGTTTAATAATTTAACTTGCAACAAATAATCGATGATAATAATGACCTAGATACACAGCGCTTTATGATTCAGCGAAGCGTTGCGTTCAATCCACAATGCTCAGCGGCCCGTTTCATAGGTTCCTTTATGCAAGAGTCGTTTTCCAGGACACATCACACGCTGCTCCAGCCGGCCGTGTATCAGGTGACGCGACAGGGGCACCTCCATTGCGACGTGTCGGATGGGATGCTTCTCGATATCACGCCACTCGACGAGGATGGCGCTAAGCTGTTTACGCTCTACGACAAAGACCTTACCGAGGGCGTCAATTTACTTATAGGTAACAGAAGTGTACTTGCATTTCATCTTAAATACTATTCTCCTACGTATCGTAGCGGTCAGATTTTTTATCATCGATGTCGATAAAAATTAAGGTTTTATAGGGTTATTTTAGAAAACGCTTTAATTGTGTAAAGTTAGCTTTATGCAGATATTTACAAGAAAATAAGTCCAATTCTGTGTTCCAAAATACCCTCTCAAGCTATCGAATCCAATAAAAAATATCCTCTAACAAATTTTTCAAAATTTCTTCGAGAAATATTTTATGCACCTATTGCACGAGTGGTTTTATTCTAGATTTTTTATGAGAAGTAGCACAGACTCTCGACCCATAGCACCATGCAGATTCATCCATAGTTTTTAGGAGCAGGCGTCATTCGTTAGAGTTGCTGAACAACAGAAAATTATTTATTTATTTTTGCACTTTTTTCTTGCTGTGGAATTTATGTATATTTCACCAAATTGCTGCAAGAAAGACCCCAGCTTTTCACATTTTTCCATTTCAAGAAAAACTAAAGGAGTTTTTCCAGTCGAGTAAAATATAATTTTAATTAATTATATTACTCAGGAAATGAAAATAAGTTTTCTATTACATCTCCTTGGTTGGCTACAGAAACCGAAATTTTGGCGAATACGGGTAAATACATACTTCATAAACAATTTTTAAAACATTTTTAAGGCGAGCTTTGTGTCTATTATAAGCAATTGCGGTTTTTCCAATTTTTAATATTATTCTTTAATTTTATTGAATTAATGGCTCGTTACTAGCTTTATGGACGTATACTCCCGGTTTACTAAATTAAACCTATCCAGGAACGGAGGAACTCTACGGTTTGTGTATTTAGTTTGTACAAATCAATGTTAATTACTTTTTCACATTATAATATGCATTTTCAATAAGGGTTGCTTATACAAGTATTTTTTAATATTATATATCTACGCTTACTTTTAAACATCACTGATTTTAGTGTATAAGATATACACTTACAAAGAAATTTCGTTTTGGTCATTCAAACGTAGACACCCGTAGAGAGAGCATCCCCATGGCCCTGGATCGATATGGCATGTTACTTTGTTGTTACTTAAAAACCATAGATAAAATGTACAGCAACGGAGTTTCTTAAAAAAATATTTCAACATGTAATAAATTGTATGCATAGTTTACAACTGGCCTATCCTACCTAACCTAACCTAACCTAACCCAACCCGGGTTGCGAAATAATCAACCGGTTTCAATAATCAATCAATCTTTTGGTTTAGTTTTAACCGTCTCTCAGGATGGTGTTCAGTGCTGCCGGGCTCAGTGTATCGTTTCATTACCGAAGAAATTATCTGGCAACTAACAATAGAATGATTTTGTATAAACAAAAAAAATATATATATTGATGATATATCTAGCCAGCTTTCAAAGTATGTGAATGAAATCAAGGCTCCACGTTTCACTGGCAGAGCGTTATTGTGAATAATTTTTATCAATCAAATAGAGAAAAAACGACGTAAACGATTAGGAACAAATATGATAAAGAACTACAAGCATTCCGATTCTGACAGCTTTACTATTTAATTTTGTCAAATTTATTTTGGGCCACGGGGAAATTAAAAAAAATACTTACATGGAGTTATTTAGTTAGTTGCACGAAACCTGACCTGAGTAAATCTATTGCGACTTAAATAAAAAGCGTTTCTTTAGCCGAATTTTGTCATTTAATTCGCATGATAGATAAGGCTCATAAAGGTAACAAATGTGCGTGATGTCGGTACGGGCGGAAGGAAGTAGCGAAAGAAAAGCGATGGTTTTATTACGCCTTTGAACCCAACAAATTTCTCTTTCCGTTCCTTTAACATGCAATGTGCAGGCTGTTACATTATACTCTTCGCGGCTTGGATATTAAATCATAACTTTGAAAAATATAAATGTTACGTATTAAATAATGTTGTGTTTTTGTATTGCAGTTGTATCTGAGAATTGGGGTTCTCAGTGCGTTCGATTGAAAGTAACAGTAAAATCCGACAATTGTGGGGAGTCGCAGGATTGTTCCGGGAAAGGTGTATGTTACACAAACGTATCAATGGTAAATTTGTTTTTTCAATAATATTGATTACGTAAGTAAGGCAGTAAAGTATTATTGCACTTTTTACATGTTCGACGCGTTCGAAGCCTTTATTATTCACACTATGAAACAAATAGAACTTTTCATGACGGTCTACTTTTTAATCATTAAATATGTTCCCATATATATAAATGTATATATGGTTTGTCCGTATAACTAGGAAACATATTATTTTGCTTTTTCTATTAATTAAAAGTGTCAACATATCAAAGTAAAGGTGTCGGCGGAATGACTCATGTTTTTTTGTAGGAGGGTTACGAGTGTCAATGTTGCCGTGGCTATATGGGCCCTCACTGTGAGGAGAGGGACGCGTGCAATCCATTACCTTGCCTGAATAATGGCATATGCGTCGACCTGACACAACCTCTCAACGGAGCGAACTATCACTGTCTATGTCCTTACGGTAATAATATATAATGAAAGTTCTTTATTTATTTTTAATTATATTTTTATATATAAATACTTTTAAAATATTATATTTATAAATATAATATTTTATCTCATGCGAATATTGGTCAAAAATACTTAAATAGTTTTCTCGAAACTTATTTTTCTATTTCTCTTCGAGTTTTTTTTTGGCTCCTTTTACATGTATGGTTTATACTGTGGGCCGTTAGCTGTAAACGGTAGATGTTGTAGGTGAAAAAAGGAACGCAACTGATTTATTGAGTTGCAATGCTCCAATGCCATATTTTTGTAAAAAATTTACGTCAATAAATAACATGCAATTTGCGATTTTTCTTATAGCAAGGATACAAGTGAAATAACCTGGCCATGGTTAAATAAAACTATGGAAATTGACGATCGTTTTTTCCCGATAAAAAAGCGTTTTTAGAAAATTAAACACCAATAGTGATGTCCAGAACTTACTAATAGAAAGATTATTTAACAATAATTTTAGACTGTATTTGGTTTCGCAGCGCTATAAAAATTTGGTACAATAATAAGAGATGCATTTTGTTGGTAGTAAAGTTTACATCCCTCTAAATAATAAATACTGTTTTGCGGCTTAAAGTACATAATGCAGATTACTTGTCTACATATGTAATATTTGATATTTTTTTTATCATAAAATTCTCTGCTAGGATATATCGTACGTACTGCGAAGTAAATCAATGTATATATATAAAAATGAATCCCTATTTCCCTTGGTCACACCATCACGCGTGAACGGCTGGACCGATTACGCTAAATCTTTTTTTATTATATTCCTTGAAGTAGTAAGATGGTTCTTAGGGAGAGGAAAAAATTCTTGATGCGGTTTTTTTTTCTAAATAGAGTGATTCAAGAGGAAGGTTTATATGTATAATACATTGCACCCGCACGAAGCCGGGGCGGGTCGCTAATATTTTAATAAAATTCTCCTGTTAAATTGACTTTGAAATCAATATTTCATATATTTCATTTGAAATATTTCGATAGCAATATTTAATTGTTTGATATTTTAGTTTTATAATAAAGACAATTTCATCACCAATAGGCATTTTTTATTAAATATATTCAAATTTCAATAGAGAAGAGGTTTATGTGCCACGATCAGCCTATGATCCTAGAATAAATAAAACTAAACGTTGGCCCAAACACAAAACACAAAACAAGTTTAAATCAGCACATTCTGTGTAGATTGAAAGCAAATTATATAATTAAAAAACCTTAAACGCCTCAATCTGTTCCTATACCGCGAAAATTACAAATCATTCGAACCTTCGGAAATTTAGATTTAAATTAATTACGATTAAACCGAAAAACTATTTTACTTATAATAATGAAGAAATTTAAAGATACAGTAAGAAACTTCATGACTTTACTTAACTTGAAATGTTTAAAGGCGATGAATACTTCAAGTTACAAATGTAGGTGACCTCTTAGATACAATCTGTTCTCGGCGCCTCCGTAGTCCGGAAGGCACGTTTAACCGTTGGGCCCGATTTGAATCCAATAAATTTTACTCCCGTCACTTCGCCTAAAGCCTGATAAGGCGTTAGGTTAAAGATAAAATACATTTTCCTGGTTAAATAAATTAAATTCAGAATCGTATTTATTAACGGGTTCCGTATCTATTAGAATCTTTTAATTTACCAGGGTTTTTATTGGCCTTATGTGATAGCTAGACCATACGTTTATTTTTAATTCAATATAGTACTGTATTGTATTATCACCTCCTCCACCACCTTAGTGTAGTTTTATCTGATATTTAGCAATGACAACCAGACGTATACTAGGACGAGAGTATCTTGAATTTATGTCTAATAAATAACTTAACTATCTAACGTTCTATTGTAAATAGTCTCGTTATAGTTGAAACATCTATGTGTATAACTTTCAAAGAGTTAAAAGATTCAAGTTCACACATTATACTTCCTCGTGATGATGACTCAAAACTATGCTTACTGCCGGTAACAGCAGAACAATCTCTATCTAAACACAAAATTCCCTATACTCGGTGTAGCAACCAATGATATTGTTAATTTTTCACTGTGATAAAGAATACCGCTGTTGCATGAATAGGCAGGCTCGTCTGGGGCTCACGAAGTAGTAGTATTAATTGCATTTCGTCTGTTGAGTGCTGTAGCCGGGATCCACTGTTTTCAAAGTTTCATAACGCACCTGCATCCCTTCCGGGTTTGTAGATGTCCACGGGTAGTCATTTAACGACAAGTGAACCAAATGCTCGTTTGGCAACTTTTCACATTTAATTAAAAACCATAAGTGATTAAGTGTGGAGGAAAAGCTCGTGAAGAAAATGCCCTCATCTAAGATATACATATATGTACTGCATAAGTATAAAAAATATTATGAAGATACGCGAAATTCTTCAAAAAAAGACCTACTCGTATCCAATGATATTATACACAAAGATATGACAATAGCGCACCGAAATTGAGGCACACAAATTACACCAATTGGTGCAATTGGATTGCAATTCTATAGACTGCTATCTCTTTCCATATCATATGTTCTATGTCATCTGTCACATTCATTTATATATGTCATATAATGTTAAGCGGAACAGTTTTTAAATTTTAAACGCCGCGTATTATGGAAATGCGTCATCTTTGTAGTTAATCTTTATAATTAACATCATTGCTCGTATGCCAGCCATTAAGTGTATCATCAAAATACTAGGATAGGATGTAAAATCATCATCAAGATTTTTAAATTCCGAATTAAAAACATCTGAAAACTGTTCGGTAATTCGCATCATTTCGTAGGTTTCACGGGTAGAAAATGCGAGAAGGACCCTTGTTACTCGAAGCCATGTTCAAACGGTGGGTCGTGTATGAGCATGGCGGTGAATGGGTCCACGACTTTCCACTGCGCGTGCGGCTCCGGCTGGATGGGTCCGCAATGCGAGTTTCCCGTCAGCGAAGCCTGCGCCGCCAAGCCCTGCGTTAACGGCATCTGTGTAGAGCAGACCGGCAGCGACCACGGCATTCAGAACTTCCGATGTTTCTGTGAGCCTGGTAAGTGTTTTAATAATTCCAATTGTAGAATTTGTTAAAATAGTTTAAAATAATGGTTATTATATTTAGTTCCATGTAATTTGAATAGAATGTGGGAAAAAAACGTAAATATTTTTAAGAGGCTAATAATATAGTGTTCATATTTTATATCACAATTGCAATCCTGAATACTGGTTAAAAATTTTGGAACGAAAGGAATTTTTGTTTTCAATAAAATTTTCTCTAGCTTGCTTGTGTAAGTGTGTGTATTATAGTGTAGCTATAGATTATGAGAGCCGTAAACGTTAAATTCCTCTCAATTTGACTCTTACTGAAATCGTTACAATCAATTAAGCTTATAGATGTGAAATGGTCGTAGTATAAAACGTTAGAAACGTTACTAATATCAGTAAGCTTCTATTCAAAGCAGTCAGAGCGAAATTGCCGACTTATTTGAAATTTAGTTGGAAAGTTGCCGGGGCCCTCCCACTAGCTTTATGTTGCTGAAACGTGCCTTATGAAACAGTTTTGCGAATTAGATAAAATGAATAAAGCGAGGTCTCGGCTTGGAAATTACTATGTGAAATTGATTTTTGTATTGATCAATTCAAACTTTTGATCCATTAGGGATGTATAGGGATATTTTATTAGATACTAGTCGTGAACTGTCATCGTACTTTTAGTTTTGATAAAACCCTGTTTCACAAATTATGAAAAACATAACGTTATTACTCAATTCCATCCAAACTTACTTCTTAACTTTCCGTTGCCTGCTAGATCAAAAGGATTCATTTATAAAATAGGTTGACAACAGTCAGTACCTTGTAGGTAACAGAACCATATTTTTATTGTCTCGGACGAGACCTAGCACAAAATAATTTTACACCCGAGACAGATATATGATGAAAAAACATTTGTAAATACACATTACAAATATATAACACGAGAAAGATTTATTTTGGAACTAAAATTAAACAGCTGATTAGATTGATTGACGCTCATCGTTACTTACAACCGCTCTTTGGCATGGAACACAGAAGTTACTTAATCAATACACGTGCTGCCGCAAAGGCAAAAAGGATTTTTTTAAGACATATTGATGGTTATGAGATGACAGGACTTCCTCTGGGATTAATTCGATCAGTTTCACAAAATAAGTACAGGTTTTACATATTTTATCTCCATACTAAAAACAAAGTTTATTGAATTTTGCAAGTAGCACGAGATATAAAAATTACCTGTCCCCAAAAAAGAAATAAGCTTGTGTTAAGCTGGCGTAATAGAGAGCGTAAGTACTAGAGAGCATAGTAAGCAATAGGATCGCATAGTTCTAAAACGATTTTTAAAGATTTTTACTGTATAATCGAATTGGAATATATTAATCTTTTTACACTTTTTAACTTTTACTATGTAGTGAATATTATTTCCTCTATACTTTTTCCTCCTTTCTTTATCATTAAAGTGAAATTAACTAACGCCGCAATTTAGTTGTAAATTTTGAAACGAAAGGTATTTTAGTATTGAACATAAGAAATTCAAAGCTTTCCGGTGTAAATGTAAGTGTAACACAGCGTATTTATATGTGCCCCCTTAATTCATTGAAAACATATTAACGGGTAAGACCTTTTAGGGTACACGGGCGAGCGCTGCGAGCTTGAGTACAACGAATGTGAGTCGTCACCTTGCTTGAACGGGGGCACGTGTACAGACCGCGTGGGCGGTTTCCTCTGCACGTGCGGCCGTGGGTACGCTGGCAACACGTGTCAGCTAAAGGTACTACAATACGACAACTTTTTTTTTATTCGAAACTGGCCAGCACTTGACAGCCATCCCACCCGATGGTAAGTGGCGATGCAGCCGTTGATGGTAAGCGCGCAACAAAGTAAAAACCTATTCACTCTTGCCTTGAAGACGCCTACGTTGTCGTCGGGTGGAATGATGTTAAAGCATCTCAAAAAATATTTTTCTATTAAATATTATACAACTCGAATTCATTATTGTGTGATCATTCAACTATGTAGTGAAAGTAACTTCAAAAGAAGCTTCTAAAGACCAATAAACAATTAAAATCTACAATTCTATATACGTTTCATTTTACACGTTTCAAGGTTCATAAAATAAATTCAATATAAACATGACAATAACATTTAATCTTCATTTTTCTTATTCTACGCTAATTTACCACACCCAGTTGCGAGATAAAATGTCGCAAGCTACCGACAACGTAAATATAAAAACATTTTCTTGAATAAAAAATACGAAACTGTGAATTTCCTGCTCAAAATTAGTCTTCGGTAAAAAGCTTTTAGGTGACAACGCAAGAAAATAAATTACTGATAAAAAAGTCGCTACTCCCAATTTAAATAGAAAAGAACATACTTTAAGAATGTAAAGTTTTTATTTTCTAAGATTTTTATGTATCTTTTAATAAATAGAAGAAGCTATGTTATTGTTTTAATTTACTTTAATAACTTTTAACGTTTAACTAAATATGCATGTGACAAACATCACATCTTAACTTCAGGTTTGAAAATAATGTGAAATTACATTTATATAATTAGCGGAATTAGCGGAATTACACGTTTTTTTACACAAAAACAAAGTAGCATAAATAATTTTAATTTTGCTATTGCTTTCCGAAGCTTTATTTAATCAATGACTATTTAAAGTAAGAACACGAATACGTAAGTAAATAAACAGTAAAATAATTCAAATGTTGCTTTTTTTTGTGAAGAGCCGTGATAGCTCAGTGTCGGGGCGCTTGCCTTTAATGCAATATACTCGAGCAACCTGAGTTCGATCCCCGATGCCGGCACCAATAAAGTTTTTAACTATAAGTGCTGATTTATCACGTGCTCCGCGGTGAAGGAAAACATCGTGAGGTAACCTACATATTTTCGAAATAATAATAAAAGAAATATATATTTTTCGACGATATGTGAAGTCCGCCAAACCGCAGTGGAGCCGTGTGGTGCACAATGCCCGGATACCCTTTGTGTAGAGGAGGCCTTTGCCCAGCAGTGGGACATGTATAGGCTGTCACTTTACTTACTTTTTTTGTGTGTCTTTTTTTTGTGTAGGGAAACATGAATTAAGCATAATCGATTAAGTCAAAGTTGTGTCTGTTTTTACGTAATGTAATTTTTGTAACGTAAAACGAAGACTGTTTTTTCACTTTGGAAATTATGTCACTGTGGATAATAGTTTCCCTTAGTTGTTTATTCGTAATGACCACTGATGAGCGGCAAATTCATGGGCGCTTCGAGAGGAGAGCGTTGGATATGTAAATTATTACACTTTGAAACTAATCAAAAATACCATTTGTATTCAAATATTTTGTTGATTCCTGGGTGTGGTGACTAATAGGCTAATACTAATTCAACTTTATTTAAATTATTATTTATTTTATTTGTGAATGGGCGAAAAACATATGTTCAATCTTGGCGTCATTTCCGATTAGCAATACGCAGTTCTGGGCCTGGGCCTAAACTTTCTTCATTTTTCTTAATATTTTTAACTTAAAGAAATATTTTTAACAAGTTACAATGTCTTTAAAATAGCTGCATCAAATATTAAAATAGAAATTACTCAAAATGTTTCTATTTTGTAAGGTAACCTTTACACCGAATAGGTATTTAAAGTTCAAATGTTTTGTGTGTAATATATATTTAGTATACTTACGTGGGTTTATTATACACTCATGCATATGCATGTTTGTAAACATGTACGCGTGCATTTTTATTTATTTTTCTTAACTCAAATTTTATTTTCTAACCCCAAGATAGAATATTAGATACTTTTAGTGAAAAGAGATAAACTTTTTTACGGCCCTGAATTGACTAGTAGTGAATAGCAATTGGCCTGAAATCCGCACCTTGTAATTCCTGATTAAGGTGTTGCAATAAATGATAAATAAATTAATTAATTTTGATCTTGAACACCATAACATTATTGAACCTTCTACTGAGTTATCGTCTGGATCTATTTTTTAAAATGAAATTTTAGATATTATATCTAATAAACAATAATCAAAATGTAATTGTTCTCTATTGTTTTCGCAATCTGGACATTCAGGAAGACTACATTTTTATTATTGGTATCCCCCCGCGATCGTACGAATAGCTTCGCGTGTAATCGTAAAACGTTCAGCAATAGAGTGTTTATTTAATACTAGCTTTTCGCCCGCAGCTTCGCTCGCGTTGAAGCCCTTATATAAATATCTTTCTTTAACCTTTCAACCTTTTAAAATACTTTTTTCCAATTAAAAATAGCCTGTGTCCTTTCCTGGGCTCTGGACTATCTGTGTACCAAATTTCATTTAAATCGGTTCAGTAGTTCTAGCATGAAAGCGAGACCGACAGAGTTACTTTCGCATATATAATATTAGTATGGGTTATTCCACCAGTAATTGAAACAAAAATGATACGTTTCAATAAAAAAATATGATGTGTAACATCTCACATCCTTGGTAATAAGTAAAATTAACACTATGTGGATTACGCAGCGACAGATTACCTGAGATAGCGACATTGGCAACACGGCCCATGTCCCTATTTTTATTGTTGGTCGGTCTATGCGTTTAGGCATGAGATATACCTGCAACATTCTATACCCGGCCTCAAAGGTACGGGTATCGCCGTATACCCGGTGCTAAAACCCAGTATCAAAATACCTATAGGTATTAGTTATGTTCAGGCCTCCTTTTGGAGACGCGGTCGAATCAAACGAATTGAACCTTTGGTTGGAATTGGAACATTTAAATGTTTTTTTTTAGCAATCAGTTTTTTTTAATTGAGATTTAATCAGTCTAAAATAAGCTCCATCTTTACTAACGTAAAGAACCCTATTATCAAAAAAAAGTAATTCAATTTTTTTTTAATTAATTTAATAATCAATTAATCAATTTAATTAATTAAATTATTTATTTAACTTATGGTCATAGAAACAAAGAATAAATTTATCTCAAGGAATTATTTGGTATAAAATGCCTAAATCATACGTTTCAATTCGGGCATGATCGGGAAGAGCCGCCGTAAGGGTTCGGGGAACTTCGTACCTATTCGGCCGGCGAGTTGTCGCGAGCGTATATACCGCCACCGTCGGACGAGGCGGCCATAGCCATACCTATCGGTGCGGGTATGGAACGGGCCTCTGCCGTACATACGTCATACCCGGTGTGCGGGCGGGTTGTCGCGAGCGTATATACCGCCACCGTCGGACGAGACGGCCATACCTATCGGGTATGGAACGGGCCTCTGCCGTACATACCCGGTGTGCGTACTGGTATGTTCATACTGGGTATTTATACCTGTTCCAGTATATACGCCTCATCCGCCTCAGTTTGTAACAGACGGGGGCTTGGGAACAAAGGATACGCGTCTGTGCATTTTGCAGGCGCGTTCGCGGGTTTTGCGGATGCTTTTGGAGTTTTTACGCAGCCTTTAGTCAGGTGTCTCAGTTTATCGCAGTTAACACACTGGGGTAGTTCTGCGAAATATTTTCTTTTGAGTAGTGAGCATTCCAACGTGCCATGATTTCCTGTTTCGATTCATTGCATTTGAAGCACATGGGGCCGGTTAAGCGGTTGCGGGGCGTGCGCTGAAGATTTACCAATTGTTGCATTGCGGCAATGCCTGATATCCGTGGAGGTTCTACTCAGATCCCCGAGGGTGGACATACTGTTTTAGCCTTAATTTCTGAGATATGGGCTAATTTGACAATTACTATGTCCAACGCAACACAGTCGTGTGTTCATTCAATTCACATGTTTATACCATGTAATGGAGGCGAGTATACGGTCGACTTCGATCTCTTTTGGGATGTCTTTAATAAAAACCCGAACTTCGCGGTCCTGTCGTAGTGGGTGGGCGTAGAAACCTATTTTTTGATCTTGAATGCATTTGGTCGCTTTGCGGAAATCGATCGGCTAGCTAAGTATCCCGGATACCTTGATAAATGTTGCGTGTATGTAGTATATGGTATTGTGCCGCTCAAACCATAGCCATATTATAGATATTATTTCATTCCACATGCTGGAACGACGAGGTTTGGCTGTGTAAGCCAAACCTCGTCGTTATCGCGAGATGGTTATGAGCGCGGTGGGCGCGCGAGACGACGGTGGTGCAGTTTCATGACTTTCTTACGTTTCGCCGTGAAAGCGACAAATTATTTCCACATTTCCGGAAATTTAGAGCGCACGAATTCCTCGAATAAGAAGTCCATCCATTCAAAGTATAGCTATTGTTGAGTAAAGTCAAGTAGATTATAAGGCGGCGAAGCGTGTGCACAAAAGTAATCCCAACGGCTTACGCTTTAGGTGCAATAGCATAAACGCTTAACTGTCTCATTTCTGGTAGACGTTCGCACCGTACGAGTGTACGAAGCGGAATCACTGTAACCGCCGCGTGCATTAGTCAAACGAATAGCGCGTGTTTCCCTGGTTTCCTGTTACTTCCTTCCCTTTTCACGCATTGCAGGAAAGCGAGAGAACATCTTTCATGTTACACAACAATAAAAGTGTCTTACATACATATGTATATACATATATATAAACAGTATAAAAAGAGCCTAGAGGGCATCGTTCAGCCATGCTCTCTTCACTATCACAACATAGTATAAAACAAAGTCGTCCCTTTTTCTGTCTGTTCCTATGTATGCTTATCTTTAAAACTACGCAACGGATCTAGATACGGTTTTTTTACTAGATTGAGTTTTTTTTTACTTGATTGAGCACCCGTGCGAAGCCGGGGCGGTTTGCTAGTTTATTTAATAAATAAATATAAAAAATAATTAAAATAACACAATGTTTTTTATTATTTTTTCAGGTCAACCTGTGTTCCCCGAATCCTTGCTCCGAGAATCACTATTGTACCGATCGCGGTAACACATACACTTGCGAGTGCGTAGATTGCAACAAGCCGACTAGATCAGTAAGTTCTTGTTTAACAAGACTTTTAATATAATACAGTAGTTACACATGCGACATGTTTGGGGTTCCGTACCCAAAGGGTAAAGCGGAATCCTAAGATTCCGCTGTCTGTCTGTCCGTCTGTCACCAGGCTGTATCTCATGAACCGTGACAGTGAGACACTTGAAATTTTCACAGATGATGTATTTCTATTGCCGTCATCACAACAAATACTAAAAAACAGAAAAAAAAAATATGTTTTTCCATGCAACAGACATAATTTTTTTTTGCGCGAGTCCGATTTGCACTTTGCCGATTTTTTTAATTCTGCTATGACTAGACTAAAAACGTTCACCATTTTTTACCAAAAAGTGTATACACTACGTTTTATCACGACTTTTTTATACGGTGTAATTTTGGTTATACGGTGCTGTACACGTGCATAGGTAAAAATATCATTTTATTGAACTAGTGACTATTCATTACACGATTTTTTTATTTTTTTATTTCTTGAATATGACGAATTTATTTTACAACTTGTTAATTACAGCCGTGTGATAATAATCCATGCGCACATGGCGGCACATGTTGGAGCAGCTCCAATTCCTTTTACTGCTCATGCCGCGCCGGATACACTGGAAAACTTTGTGAAGGTAAATATTTTTTACTAAGTAGACCTAGGTGGGGTGACGACCTGAGCAAATGGGCGGGAAGTCGATGTATGCATGTGGCTCGGGATTCTGCCTCGTGGCAGTCTAAGGTGAAAGTCTACGTTTAACAGTGAACTCGAGTAGGCTGAAATTATGATGATGATGTTGGAGTAGACCAAATGACGAGAGCCGTTAGGAAGCCTTGTCTCCTGGCACATTTCTTTTTATTAGTGTTGGATATACATCAACTCACCAATGAAAAAAGTTCTGATTAATGAAAAGAGTTTCTTGAAGTTGTGTACTTCGCCAATTCGCAGTGGTGGTCTTTCCCCAGCTATAAAACATAAGTGAGAGTGTTCAATGATGATGAATGAGGTGAAATGGGATGATGTTGAAGATGTATCAACGAAAATGTTCCATATCTGTTATCATAAAGAAGAATACCAAACTCTCTTATCATATTTATTCTCATCTTCACCGACGGCTCTGTTTCTATGATTAATTTGTAAAGAGAGAATGTTATGTGTTAATGAAAATTCTATGCGCGCGTTTCAGAAGATTTCATATTAGAGTCCGTGGTAGAAGGCGGAGTGGGTGATGTGGCTGTGCGCGAGACAGAATCGCGAGCGGGTGGGGTTCGGGAATTGAGGCTTCCGTTGGGCCTATACCACGATCGTCTGCACAATGTCTACATAGCAGCTGGGACGCTTGGGGCCGCGATAGCAATAGTTGGCGTCGTTGTAAGTATATCAATTATACTCTTGTATATTTGTAGTCTAAATTTCAAACTGTTGTTGTGATTCACGTTAGGGTCAGAATACCTAAAACTTGGCGAAAAAAAAAATTAATTTTAAAATTAAAAATTAGCTGGACAAAGGCCTTCTCTGGACCGAGGGTATTAAGGCGTACGCCATCCGACCAAACTGGCGATTGGCAGCCTTCAAATATTTTCGAATATTGTTTGATATTATTTCGAAAATATGCAGAAAATATTTCCTCACGTTGTTTTTCATCACAGTCATGCACATGATAAGTCAACGAGCCGTGATAGCTCAGTGTCGTCCGCACACTTTTAATTAAGTATACTCTAGTAACCTGAGTTTAAATCCGAGTGCTGACAACAATGAAATTGTTAAGTGCTAAATTTGGCGTGATTTACAACAATAGTATTTTTATTACAATTTTAAGTCTTCCTATGTTCCTTTAGTTATTAACGCCCTTTCTAAAGATCTTTCGAGCCTAATGTACGATAAGTGTGTCTGTACACTCGTGTATCCCAGTCGCCTGAAAGCTCTACGCTCAGAGGCATGTGTAATTAACTAAATAATATCCATTGAAGGGCCCCGGTTCACTCACTCACCAGGCGAAACGCGAAGGTTTATACTTCCACTGCACGCTGGTCTTCTGTGAGGCCGTGGTACTTCCCCGGACGAGCCTGTCCATTCGTGCAACAGCAGAAACTACTACGTGGTCATACCACAGTGAAATTTCTGAAGCGATCGGAGGACATAAACAGATCCTTTATTCTAACTGTATTTCTTTGCCCATTTATGGTTTGGAGATACCCTTAAATCTGATATTTACTATTTTCTTTCCATAATAAAAAGGCTGAAAAAGTTGTTGTAATATCATTATATTATATCCGACAAAAAAGTGAAAAATAGTTAATGATTTTAACTAATTATCTTAATTTAAAAAATGTATATGTGATGCTTTAAGTTATAAAGAAGGCAATAAAGTGATTGTTATTTATTATTTATTATTTATTTATTTATGAATGAATGAGTTGAGAAGAATATGGGCCAAAAGAATTATTTTCTGTTTGTGTTTCTTGGATTTACCAAAACTTATCGTGTAACAGACTCGGAGTCTAGCATGAGCATTTATAACATGTAATCATATCCGCTGCTGCAGAACCGGGCATTTGCCTCCTTCTCTTTAAAAAGGGATGCCCGAAATTCCATCCATCTTTTAGGTTACCGCGTGTCACTGCCGAGTGAACAAGACATATGCCCGGATACTCTCCCGGCTCTCCCGCGTTACCGAGTCGGGCCCGCCGCACCACTGGCTCCAGGACAAGCGCGCGCCCCCCGCCCCCCTGGCGCCCCCCTCGGCCGCCCTCGACACCACCGACATGTACTACACCCTCGACTTCAGCGACAGCCAAAGCTCCCCCCTCATACAATAGCCATCACTCCTGAACTGCTCCGACGGGGAACGGTTCAAGATACAATTTTAAATGTTTCACTGTTTGAATTGTTGATTACTTATTTTCTTTAATAATCGTCGCTTACCGCTATCAAAATTGAATTATCAACGATGGCACTAACTGATCGACTATGACCAGTTTTGCAAAAATTTACTGAGGTTTGTGTGTGTTCGTTAATGTATTTAGAACTTAATTATAAATATTGCATTATTATGATATTCGGCTTCCTTGTAGTTCCGTGGTATAAGGTTTTATGGTTCAGATGAATAAATTGTAATATTTTATTTTAATATTACTAAACATAATGATTTATTGACCTGTAAGAAGTGCTTTATATGTATTAATGTACATTTTGATAACTCTGAACAGTATCGTATAACGAATATGTATAAAATGTAGGAAGTATGTCTATGGTTTCTATTATTATTATTTTAACTTACTGATATTTAATACCTGTCAATAAATATATTCATAGGACAAAAAAAATCGTACAAAATTTTTATAATAAGTTTGCATCTTATGCCGCCTGCAAATTTTAAAGTAAAGACATTGTTGTTTATAAATTCTCATGTAATTTTGTCAATAATTATTGAAAATTATAATGTTGTATCTAAATTCGCTTGTATTATAAAATCATTAGATAGTGGCTTTCTTAAACGTGAAATTAAGAAATGTTTTATATAAATAAGTAGGTATATGAAAATCGTTGCCCAGTTTAATTTTACATAAATTTTTATTCGTAACTGTAATGATCATAGCAATAAGTGTATTTGTGTGTAATTTGGGTGATAGTATATAGTATTATTTAATTAGTTATCCTAACTGTTAAATCATAAGTTACATTTGCAAAATAATATGTTTGCAACACTGAAAATATAGTGACGATAAGAAAGTATGTTCCTCAATCAATTTTAACAAAAACGGTAAACACACTGTATAAAATGTATTAATTAGTATTAAATACATGTCATAATAAGTATTCGACTGATCTTGATTGTAGTTTTCCCAATTGTCTTATGTTTCTGTCTTTGCTTCAAAAGTTGGTCATAATTTTCACAATATTTCTTTGTGCTGTAACGTCCCATAAAAATCCATATAGTGTGATATATCCATATAGTAGGTCTGCAGACCATTACTTTAATGTTATGCAAATCTTGTCAAAAGCTTTCTATATCTAATATCGCTTTTCGGTGTATATATGTGGTAATTTGTTGTTAAAATACATTACGAAATTAAAGTCATTATGGAAGGTTTGTCGCGTTTTTTTGTTTACATTGATGTCATCGTCATCGCTTTAAAAAAGGTTTTGTTACAATTTGGGATTGAAATAATGTACCCCAAATTTAGCTCCCCAAATCCCAATAATTAATATTATTTCACCTAACCATAAATAGCTATCATTTTTCCAAAAGAACAAAAAACGTTACGTGTGATGTTTTACTCCTTTTATTTTTCCCTACCGCTGTCTTACATCTACTTAAGACTCGCGATCAACTGATGGATGCAAAGAGCAAAGTGTAGTTCACTGTGGCGTTCTAAGGGGAGGCCTTTGGTCATTAATGGACTTCTGTAGATTGAATATGATGATGATGATCAGCCTCTTATCCTTCGCAATTGGTAGTTGACTACTTTTCTTTTCAAAAGTTCGTTCTTGAGAACGCACTTTTGAAAAGTTTGCAAGCATTGACAGCTCATTTTACCAATAATCGTATATTTCTCTTTTACTAACCAAAAATGTTCGTACCGAATTCTATTGTAAAAACAACTTTGGGAACGACAAAAAACATCTTTTATATTTTTCATGGAAAGCATTGCTGCAGACTTCCTAAGATCCTATTACCTAGCATCTGATTTTCCTTTTCAAACATTATCCTCCCTATAAGATGTCTTTTTACTGTACCTATTGTAAAGATGTTGTACATGCACTATAACCTCATGGACACACACCCACAAATTAAAGAATTATATGTCATACAAATTTCTGGTCCATTTGTAAATCTAACTTCAAGCGCAGGATAAGATTTCTTCAGAGCCCGATCGGTTTATTCATAAAACATGTGATTTTGTGACTTAAAAATAATTTATAAAGGAATAATTATATTTTTTTCACAAAACCTTCGAAAATTCAAAAAAAAACGACTGGGGTGTTTTGAAGAAAAACATTTTTATTTAGATTATAAACTTTGATAAAAATAATTATATTAATAATATTTTTATGACAACTTACAAATATTCATATAAAAGAATAACGTAACATCTATTCAAATTTTAAAATTAAGTACAGTAAAATTTATTAACGAAAATGTCTCAACATTTCCACGATGTTTGTCATAAACTAAGTTGTGTGACTAACTGATCGGCGGAGGGTCCACGCTGCGCCGCCAGCGCGCGCTACGTTCTCTTGGCCCCTTCGGCACAAGCGTCCCCCAATATACAAACACATTCTATCCTAGACTCTGATTAAAAATTGCACAACAACGCTAGGCGACATATGCTGGCGACGCTCCGCGAACGCGTCCGTCACTACTAAACTGCTTTACGTATTATTGCTACTGACGTTTGTGACTTATGACGAGATTCAAAATCACGATCTAAAAATCATTGTAAGTAAACATTAAAGCTGCACAATTTATAACGATAAGTACATATAAAATAAATATCATTACTTCAATACGTATAAGTAGGTAAAATATAAACAATGTTAGAGTCCGCCCCGTACAAAAAAGGTAAATGCAGACTTTGAGCAATGAGATGCGTGTAAGTAAAACAAATAGAAAAAATTATAAAATGATTTCAATTTACTTAAAAATAGTGAAAATACATTAACGAGTGTGTAAAATACAAGTTGTATGGAAGATGACGATTTCTATAAGTGCTTGACCTAACAGGTCACATCGCAATCGCAGCTTGATTCAAATAAACAATAATACATAAAATATGATATATCAATAGCATACTTTTAATTTTGATTCTACCTTTAAGACGCGTGACATATTTTAACAAACTAAACTAAATATTCTACAGCTAAGGTAAGTAATCTAAATTATGTCATAATATGGCAGTTAATCGAACCGTCCGCACTAGGCACATCCTAATATAAAATCTTGGGCGACTTTGTCTACGACCAATCCTTTTCAATAACAGAACCTGGTTCTGATTTTCGAATAAATCGGTGGAAACACACTTACTACAATAACACAATTTGCGAATTATTATCTGATGCAATTTGATTGGTTCGGTTTAATTGTTGTAGTCATCTGATTTCATTTACATTGTTCATCGACGTTCTATAAAAGAAATACTCTGCACATAAAAATATGTCTCACACAAATTTGTTATACACCATCTTAAATGTTGTCATGGCCCGATCACTAACGTAATGAAATCGATATAATTAAAAGAATAAAAACTATTTAATGAAATAAAACCTTAAATCGTACACACCGCTCCCAGCCATGATTATGATAATGTTGCAAAATGAACTTTGTGACTATGTAGATATGACTATTAAAATTTACATTATACAAAATGGCGACTGCGTCTCGTCTACAAGAGTTGATAATAAATTTTTATTACTTCCGCTAATAATTAGCTCTCATAAATCTTGGCAAGGTGAGTGCTATTGATGATATAAAAAAACTTAATTTTAATCAACGAATTAAATATTTAGAAATTTAATGAACAACCGCAGGCGGTGTACTGATTCACTGAACATGTTTGGAACTTACAACTAATATCAACTTTACTAAATGAATGTATTGAGCGAGCTTATAAAAGCAAACTTACTTATAAAACTTAACAAAGTGGATGGCATTTAATTTGACTTAACTCACTTATAATAAAGATAATAACATTACTATTACGTGAAAGGCACTTTATTCTTCTTATTTACTGTAGATGAATTATCTACGTATTATAAAATGTTTGTGACAAGAATTTCTTATTTTATCATCATGGCAAGATTAAAAGGTACCTGTTGAAACGACAACTACAATCTAGAATGATAACCGAGTGAGAATGGCACACACGTTTTAATTCATCTAAGCAGCAGATCATTTTCATTTACATGTAAGGTACGTATTATTTAACGTGTACAAAATTGTCCTCTCGATGTTATTCCAACATACTTTCGACTCATCAAACTATTACTTGCCATCACCAAACCGTTGCATGATGTTTTGATAATTTCATAAGGCACTAAAATACAAAGTTATTTACAAGTCGGTTCCACCATCGACCGTCGTTCATAAAACGATCAATAACAATTTGTGACATTCGGTTTTGATAAAGGTGAAAAACAAAAAAAAAAAACACGGCGATGAAACACTTAATAGTAAATTTCAATCTGAGATCGACAATTTTTGAGACCTTATTATATAAATAATGAGTGTAAAATGGGAATGTTAAGACGACCCTTCGCGTGATCCACCACAGATGACCGGGTTGATGCTTTTACACGTACACGAACTAGTAGAGAGCGCTTGATCATATAGTGGGACCGCTGCGTAGGGCGAGTGCGGGCGAGTGTGTCGACAATGCTAGTGGTCGAGAGGCAGCTCGACGAACGTGATGTCGTACAAAGGTTCGTCCTCGCTCGCGCCCGCCGGCCGCACCTCAAGCAGGAACAGGTCCTCGTTGCAGTAGTACGCCAGCATTTCATCGTCAATTTTGGCCGTAATCCTAAAATGATTTTTATTAACACACGTTAAAACTTTTGCTTTGTTAAAACTGGAGCCAAATCGAATGATTGTATTGCAAAGTAAGTAATTGATTATATGCTCTAGATTAATTTTCATTACCATTAATGTAAGGCTAGTGCTTTTAATAAACGGGGAGGTGTCGGGTTTGCATTGGAGAATCTAATTAATGTATAGGTATTATCTATTATAAAGCGTATTTATTATGGGGACACTTCATAAATTAAGCATTGTAAAGTTAGTGGCGCGCCCTCAGGACAAGCGTGACCTTATTAACGCGAGGCGGCCGGTATGAATCTATAGTTGACTGAGGCCAATGAAAACCACTTACCCTTTCTTGTTCTTTCGATAAAGATTATTAATTGCCGAACTTGAAATTTTGTACTTATTCTCAATCTGAAAATGAGCAAAAAAGAAAAAGAATTACAATGGGCCTTTGGTTTTTTAAAACCGAGACGTCTCGTCTAACGGAACGACGTAGGCTCAGTAACCGGTCTAGTGGTTTTACAAGGACACTTTTGGAATATCGCGAGCGGACCACGGGAGTGGGCCCTGTGCAGCGGCCGGCCGCGCGGGTGTTAATTACAACATGCAGTTATGATGATCGTGTGTTGTATTAGACGGGGGTTATGAAGCGCCACATCGGTTACAGCGGCGACGCGGGCGGCGGCCTTTGAGGCCGGCGCCCGCGGCGCGGACGAAGCGTCTCGATTCCTTTCGTTTACGTTAACATTCGTTCAGAATATAACACGTTCATAAACGAACATCGACACCACGAGTGACCGAGAGGACGACGTTGTCCGTGTCGCTCACCCGTGCCCTGCGGTTAGCTAACATCACCAAGGTTATAGGACCGCTTACGGCGGTCGCATACTTCATACGTTACTTTGACCTGCCCAGCGTTGTTGGTCAATGTGACGTATCAAGCGTGCATAGTAAGGGGGGCACTCACGGCGTGCAGCAGTCCCTGCGTGGTGGGCGGTGCGACGTGCAGAGGCGTGTACACGTCGTCCGTGTCCTGGCGCACGTAAAGCATCACTCGTTCGCTCAGAGGCGGCGTGCTGGTGCGCGCGCGCTTGCCCAGCACACCCTCCAGCTCGAGCGAGTCCTTGCGATCGCTGTAGGGTGACAGGCCGCCGACGTCGGATCGGTATCTGAAACGAAGGAGGTCACACGTTCGGCGCTATTATTACTCGTGTATCGACTATATTTTTTACATATATATTTTCACTGCGCTAGAACCACTGCACATTTTCTGCCGTTGCATTAATGAGGATGCCTAACCAAAGTATCACAACAAATAAAACTGGCGTAAAGTAGAGGCATTTATACTCTTGTACTTTCCGACTGAAGAAACAGGAAAAAGAAGGAATGCTTCGTCTCAAAGGTGACAACGTGGCAACATGAACCGCTTCTCGTGTCCTCATTCATTATGAAATAACATATTGATTGAATGTTTAGACAATATTTGTATAAAAAATTAACTAAAATGTATACTTACGCCGGTGCATCGGGTGGGAAGTGATTGTGGAATTTCAACGCGGGCACTTGGGGTTTGGCCGCGTGCAAAAGGAACGGGGACGCCCCTTTTAGGTGAGCTTCGGCCAGGGCTGCCTCGTCGTGACCATAGAAACCCTGAATATCCATTCCGGCCAATTTATCAATATCCTCGGCCGGACTAAACAGCACTGGAGGTTTCGTTAGGTCGGCCATAGAGTAGAATTCACTACGCTCCGTCACCGGGTGGTATATTTCATCGAGCTTTTTCCTATTTGTCGCCGACAACTTTCTTTTCGCCGCTCTCCTCTCTTCGTCTCTTGTTTTTCTTTCAGCGCCCTTCAACAATAGAACCGAGACATTGAAATAAAAATAATATTGCTACAGTTAAAGAATACCGGGTTAATTATAATGCATATCCTTACCTTGTCACAAAACACTTTGATTTGACAGTACCCTCTATGATAGACTTGGGTGTCTCTTGGATCTTCAAATGTATCGATTTGAATGTGAAGCGGTAAGCCCTGTAGAAATGAAAGCGTCATATATATTAATGAAAAAGTTCCTCTTTATTGTCCTCAAGAGAAAGTATAATTGCGGTAATAGATTAAACTTTGAAACTCAAATATTTTGCTCACTTCTAAGCCTTTTAGAATAACACCTTTTCTATATTGTTTATCAATCGCCATTAGTCAATTAGACAACCACTCAAGCAAATTATTTGACTAAAACGATTTCACGCTTGATGTCTACGCTTATCTTAGTGTTCTAAAAAAAACAACAGTTTTAATAAACGTAGGGATAATTGCGATAAATTTACCAATAAGGAAAATATGCACGTGTCTGAATCGAATCGCGTTAAAACGTCTTAATTGCGTCGGTTCGAGGTCGGCGATGCGGCGTCACAGCGCGTTCGATTGGCAACCGAGAGCTCGATAGCGGACAGGTTCGCTATCAACGGTGGCACGAGTGACAAGCGGAAGCGGAATACTCAGAGACCACCCCCGCTACCGCTTGTCACCGCGGTGTCGTGACGACTTGTGGGCGTTGGCGCAAAGTGCATTTATCGTCGACGACGCGGTTACCGACCTCTTCATCGACATTAACGGCTCTTTACTCCTATTTTTATTACTTAGTTTTTATTTAAATATCTATTTAAAGCGTTATGCCTTTACAAGACTTTAGTTTTTTATTGTTTCCTGTTTACTTCCAATGAATTTTATAATCGATTTTCATTTAAAATACTCAAACTGACCTTAACACCCTTTTGACTGCTGAAGTCCGTACTCAAACACTGGACGGCAATGTTGATCTGTAAAAAAGAGAAACACATTTGAAATAGATCACTTTATTAATACATATTTATAAAAAATCGTAATGTGTCGACACGTCTGTTGTAGACTGCACTTGATCGCGTCGCTGTCACGTTCTGCCGCGAGCACAAAAAGGTTTAACAAGCGGGAAGGCCTTAATGAAAGTCATTGGCAGTTCGTTGTGGCCCCATTAAAGTATGGGGTGGTTTTTACGCGATGGCCGGTTGCTCGGCGCTACGCCACTCATTACCGCGCTCTATGCAAATGACCCCCCGTGAAGTTTTTACTCGCCGCCGACACTGCAACCGATCACTGTCGCAACGCGTATTAACCGTCGCAAACGACTTGCATCCGCTAACGTTTGATAATTATTAATAATTGCCGATAACGCTTATCTATTGGTCGTCAATAGCATCTGCAAATAGCAGCCTCGACGGTTTCCCACAGTACTCACTGCTGGTTTGAATTTCCGCCGTATTGTTTTTAGCCGCACGCCGCGCACCTATTGAATTCTAATGATAAGATACACGTGTAATTAAGCGCTAATGACTCAAGCTTGTGTTAGCAACGTATGCACTGTTTCGATGTAGCCTTTCGCTTCTTTATCCGAGGAAATAAAAGAAAAAGTTGTGTACGGACAACATTTAAATGTAGCAGGCACTAATTAAACAAATTCATTTGCAAAATGAACGACTCTTTGGAGTTCTCAGTTTTTGTCGTCGCAAATTTTCCCAAGAATTAAGAAAGAGAGCAAAACTTCTGTAAAAACAGTACCGCTACTGTTGCTAGTTTAATTATAATAATAATGCTTGGCAATGCTGCACGTTCGCTGTATGGTATGGTATTCTTTTATACGTAGTGCATTAACCATTTTTTGTCCGGCGGACAAAGCTATTCGGCCCAATATGGATACAAGTTTCAATTAAATTGATCCTTAATTAGTGCAATAAAATCATGATCCACATTTCAATTTCTCAAAATAAGAGGAACGATGCGTACTTACAATATGTCCACCTTAATGTATGTACATAATAATACATAGCGGAGGTAATTTAATGTTTATTTGCGGCAACTGTTTCAAGACTATACTATTCCTATAATTGTTTTGTGTCCTTGCTTATATAACACTATAGATAGAATTTAAGACAATTATATGATATTTATTGTCACCCTATAGTTAAGAGAGTTAAAATATCATAAATATCGAATCCAAAAAGTATATAAAATCTAGTATTTTCCTGTTATATTTTACTCTCCTGGGAACATCGCGCATGGATAAGTTAGCCACAAGGGTTTTTATTTATACAGATCGTTTACAAATACATTTTCAAGAAACTGTTAGTCTTCTTTTCGTTTTTATCAGTTTTAAATGATGATCAAAGATCACCTACCTTTTTGATTAAATACGTAAGATCAACAATCTTAATATAACAGCTTTTTAATCTTTACTTTATGTCTGTATTACCTTGGCGGCACTTTCTAGCGGGTTCCAGTAAACTGCGATTGCGTTGTGTGCAACCTCTTCGATGCATCCTGCTAGACCGATGCTATTCTTCGTGTCTGCAATAAAATAAAAAAAACGTCATTAAGTTTGTCCACAGGTAATTGTAGGCAACGCTTGCGGAGATTTCGATTAAGATAATAACACGCAATACGTCATTGACGGTGGAAATTTATTTTGCGGGGCGTGAACGACAGCGTCGTATAATCGATAGATACGCGAATACGAAACCGATTCATCAACATTCACCGATTATGATAACGGAACAAAATAATTAGAATTTTCTTATAACATTCACAGCAATTTTCTCAATATAATCCACAATACAATTCCAAGTTCCTTGGAATGGTAACATGGATAATTTAGTTTCACAATGGAAGTAGAAAGAAGATTGCGATGGGTACGAATAATTGCATAATCTTAATTCCAACTTGATTCCTTTTTTTAAGGGAAAGATTATATTGTACATATTTTATCATCTAGCATTAAAAATTGGGTAACAAAGCCGTGAATACTTTAACCACAACTCTGTCATCCAGAGAAAAAATGCAAAGGATTTTCGCATATTTTTTCTTCGTTCTTTCTTTAGGCTTCTCTTAAAAGACTTTAAGATTTCTTGAAAGATTTTTGCAGCTATGACATTTTTTCTTTTTTCAGCCTCTTCCACCCCTATACAGAATACGCTTGCATGCTCGCCGACGCTTACTTTTTTTACGAAAGAAGGTGTTGTTATTTGCATAAATTTATACTTATAAATTCTCCTCGTCCTTGCTTTAGTTGGATACTCTGACATTTTCCCATTTTATGCTTCACGTATGGCGGTGATTGGTGAGTGATTTGTTAACGGCTGTTGATTGGTTATTTATTTGCGGTTGATTTGTGTTGGTGTTTCGTTGCATAAATCGAACCACGAGCGGGGGGCGGGTTGGCGCGGGGGGTCGTTAGTGAGTAATCGCTAGGTGGCGTGGCGGTCGGCGTGGGCAGCATGCTATCAGTCGGGCCGCAATCTGTGCGGGCGCGCGCCAACCGCTGACGTGTTTATGAGACGCGCGAGTACCGCCCGCCCTCACGCCGCCGTATTGTTTGGCCGGCCTTAACGAATTTACGAGACAAACCAGCGTTCCTGCTATTCGACGCAATCCGCACCAGACCTACCCACTCGATCCGCTCGTAATTATCACTTTTCCCGCCTAATCGCGGAGCTACGCAGGCCGCCGTGTTGCGTAGCAATCCGCAACTTATTCGTCGTTTGCCATAATAATTCATGTCGTCAGGCGTTGCGTTCAGGCCGTCAAAGCGATCAGATTGATATAACACAATATTATAGTAAAATTTGATCCGATAACTCGATACGAAACAATTATTTGTTCTATGACAAGCGTTTTACATCTCAATTTGATATACTAATTTCAATTTAATTGCAACAGTCTAGAACAGATAAACATTAATGATTTTATAAAGTAATGAATAAATGCACCGTAAAAAGTAAGTTATATTTTTTAAAGAACTGAATGTATTGATTAGGGCCGTCTTACGTTGACGGCGAGTTAATTAGCAGCAAAGACAAATCTGGGATGACAAAAATTCGGAGTTCTTTGAGCTCTGCCCTACCACACCGCCGCCTTTTAAGTTTTATCAGAAAAGCACTTAAATACAAAATGACCTCATCTGACGAAGTTTGCAAGTAATTCGTTTCGCTTCTACCTCTAAATTTCTCCCTAAAATATTGTTGAAGGTATGATTGGACAGGATATTGCATGGCATAATTATATATAACAGTTTAAATGAGTTATGACGGTATGACGAATTTCTACTTCCATTATCTTTGGAATATGTGATGTATAAACACACTAATTCAGTGTATATATAGTCTAGTTATGACCCGAATTAATTTATTTGCTAAATTGTCCTGAACTTCACTAGGCAGTCGGGTATTGGCGTCAGCTTAGCAGGCGAACGGTAGCCGTGGCGTGTTGGCCCAGCCGAGCGTGGGCCGAGCGGGGGCACTAAAGACGCGCCAGTGGAAGCATGGAGGCGCTGCAACGGCGGGTGGACACGCAACACAAGAAGACGCGTAACCGGAGAAGGCATTGTGCGTGCGCGCCGCGCGTTGCGACCCCTCCCTCGGCCGACGTCGGCAGTCCTACACTCCCCCCCCCCCCCCCCCCGCGCTTTGTTGCGACCCCTGACGACGTCAGCTCTGCCTCCCCCGCGCTTTCACACGGCCGCGCACAGGTGTCCGGTGTCGCCCTTGACGCCCGAACCAAGTTCGCGCAACGATTCATGCGTCCCTTCCAATTGCACGCCTCTCGTTCAAGTGACTCAACCACGGGGGTAATGTGCGAATAGTTTCGGAACCGAACATGTTTTACCAAACGTTTGACCCAAACTAAGAAACGGTTCCGCTACGGGTACTGGGTGACTGATAAAACAAACTATTATTTTGTAAATTAATACATGTTATAAATGTATATATATGTAGACAGCAGAAAATAGTATATTCACACAATATTTTTCTACTGGTATTTGATTAATATTTGAGATCGAACCTCTGGTGCAAACTATATGTTTATTATCCACTACGCTATTAAAGTTATATGACGGGAAACGAAGAAATTCCGTAAAAAATTAAAATTCAACATTTAAACTTTTACCTACAGTTGCGAAGCCACACAAACATCCCATACCTTATCATTCGAACATCATCCATGTAAATTGCCAGTTTTTAGTGAACGGACAATAACAAATCTTGCTAACACCCACATTTGAATTAACTCATTTGTTTTTGTCGTATATGGTTTAAACCGAGAAACCTCCGCTGTTTAGATGTTATTTCGTTTTGTATAATAACGCCAACAAAGTAAAAAATTTAAACTTGACTAACATCGAGATAAGCTAAAACCTTGACATTAAACTTGGCCCGGCCGCGCGAATTAATGGCTTCCATGTTTTTATTTTCCTTGAGATTAAATTTATAGGCACTGCTTGTGGCCGCGGCGTCACTCATTACAAATGCTATAAGCCACAGTTAAGTAATGTTAGAATGTGTACAGTGTCATATATCAGCTCTGTTTACTTGAGCCGGCGAGGCGGGCGATTAATAAGCAAGCATTCCGTCGATGTTGATGACGCAAGGCTCTATTCAGTTGATTCTTCAGCGCGGCAATAAAACATGCCTATATTGAATTTTTCACATGCTGGCTGAGACGGAGATAGTATTTTATTACGGCCACATGTCCAATTGAATTTCAAAAGAGGTTTCCGTTCGTTTTATCAACATTGTTCGCGAGCTATCGGGGAACGTCACGGCAGCGCCATTATCGGAGGCGATAATTCTCATAGGTTGGTAGCGCGAGGCGCGGACGCGGGCGGAGGCTCATCGCGCAATTAACATGCTAATGAACGGCTCCCCGATATCATCGCGGTAATTATGTCCGCTCGCGACTATATTGTATGCATGCTTATATTTTCAACGTTCCTTTTAGACACACTACACGTATCGAGCAATCAATGTTACAGCCAATTCTCGAAAATATTTATATCGAGCCTCGACAAAGCGAATGCGACTTTAAGAGCAGGTGATTGCCGCCTTTTCTCCAAGTTGGGTGTTTCTCACGAATCTTTACGATTTCCTGTTAGTGAGCCGTCGAGATCATAGAGCTCGTGTCGGATATCTTTATTATATCGTTTTACTTAACCCCGCCTCGTGGAAACGTTGCGTTCTGTTTTATATCACTAATTTAGCCGAGGCGGAATGTGTCATTACGAGCGCGGGAAACGTGTGGCGGCGGAGGGCTGGAGGGGGGAGGGGGGGCTGGGGCTAGGCGGCGGCGCCGCGGCTGTTTATTTTTAGACGGGTCGATTGATAGGTGGGCCGCGGACGATGCGCGTTATTTATGCAAATGTCCTAACGACATATAATGTTGGGTAGCGGGGCGCACGGGTGCGTCTCCGCGGCTTTAAGGCCCGCAGCACGGTAATTAGGTCCTGCGTGCCGCCGCCGCCCTCGGCGCACGCAAAACCCCGCCGCCATGTTTCTGTGTCGCCTCGAGCACGACCGGCCACGTTTTTGCGCGGTAAATATCGTGTCTCGGGCCCCGTACGAGCTACCGTCTGATCATCGTACGCTCGAGGGAAAAACTCGAAGAGTCATTGTGTTTCGAAATTACTAATTCTCATTGTCTGTCATTACCGCGTACCACGCGAACGGGCATTCCTTTTAGTCATCTCGACTATTGATTGTTCAGACCGATTGAATACGATATTAAAATAGATGTTATAGGTTAAATATGTCTTAGGGATGTCCATCAGACAGTGAAGCCTGTAATAATGTAATAGAAGATGAATGTTGTTGAATATTTTTGTGAGGATTTCTTATATTTACACGCCTATTAAATGAATCCCTGGACAGCGTTCACGGGCGGGAATTAAAATTGAACGCTATAAATCCGTAAAAACAAATTGTTTAATTTCGTATTAATTAGATTCTTTTTAGTTTTACTGGAATTAGAATGAAAGGATCAATTATTAATCAAAACTTACCGGCATCTAGTATCCTCTGTTTCACTGAGTGCTGCCTTCCGTGCCAAAACTGCCACGCCTTGATCTCGTCCTCTGGGGATTTCTCTTCTCTGAACATCAGCATCACGACGCTCTGAAACAAAGTATATTATGAAACTCACGGTAGTAATAGCATTGAAGTTTAATTAATTACCCTCTGTATCGAGCAATCGTAAACCGCGGCAAGCGTACGCATTAAGCGTTATTAAATTCAAGCCGCATAAATGTATAACATCGAGATAATACTCATTAGAAACGCCTATATAAAGTTAAGCCTCCGGTTAATTTATCGCCACGTTTAATGACAGAAGCAAGGCCGAGCAATGCCGTGAGCATTCGCGAATTAACTGCCCGCGATCACCGGCAACATTTCACAGTTATTACGTTAAACGAATATGATTACGTGGCGGAGACGGGCGTCTTGGTTATCATTTTTCATTTAAATGCGCCCCACAATGGCCGCCGAGTTCAGAGTCGTTTCCGCTCCGACGTGCGAGAGAAATACGCCGCCGGTACGATTTCTATGGACGGGTTAGAAAATGAAGTGAAAAAGAAGTGAGTCGCGCCGGGCGCAGTGCCAGGCCCGGCCATATAGGGCTAACGACGAGAAAGCACCTCCGATCGCCGCTTCTGATTGATCGATCGCAGCGCGCGGCTGACCGCACCCCGAACGACCTCCGAAACCTATCCCCAGAGCCCACTAAAAGCATTTTGTAGTTGCTCTAAAGGCAATTAACGGCGTGGTCGTCTTCAAACAACACGCATGTGTTTTTACATTCCTGAAACTCAGTCAAGTCCGAACGGACAGAATCGCTAGTACGGCTTTTTATGCTACACGTTCATGTGAACGGAGTTGTTTTGTTTTACTGACATATCATCAGTTCGACATCGATTTTTATACTCTTTTTATGCCCCATTTTGGTGCGTACAAAGCAGCAGACGGCTGCATGTCTTGAATAAATAAGTTTTTCTATAACGATAAAGCTTTAGCGAATTAAGAGCTTTCCACGGGATATTAATACGGAGCGGGCGAACGTTGCAGATCTTAGACCTACGGAGATAAAGTGCAGGATGCCATAAAGGCACCGGTTATCGCGTTCGGATCGCAATTAAGTACAGCAAGGACCCTCGGTTACGGTATTGGCAGTGGGCAATAAAAACAATGTTTTATTACGAATCGATGTGTTTATGAGTAGTTTGCGTCGGCGAATGGCCACGCGTTTCTATAAGCGGGACACTGGCTTTCTCCGGAGATCGGGCGTAAACTGAACGGAATCATGCATACTAATAGATAGCCCATGTATAAAATTGTAACGGTGCACTCCGTGTCTGCGTCGCCGCCAATAAATATAAACATTTACTGCTTTATTAGAATTCCCCAAATTCGTTCGGTAAATACATAATGCATGCTTAACTGTAAACACGAAATTAGATGGTAGGTCATATCTTATCTAATATTCATATGCCACTAAAAACGAGGTTTATTAGTATTGGGCGTTTTTATAGTTTGCATTTGTTCTTTATCATTTGGTGAGAAAATATCGCGTTTCGTGGTGCTAAGTCAGAAAATGATTCCGCTTCGCGTTCAAATCTTGATAGGAGCCAATATTGATGCTGTTTATAAAACATAAGCTTTATATATTAACGGAACGAATGGTCCTTGTCACAAATCATCTGTTTCTTTTTTATCTTAATTAGCTTTATGATTTAATGAGTGGTATTTTGTAGATATATTTCGGAAGTATCTGATAAATTTTTGCGTTGTCAAAATTTTTCATGCAAACAATGTTTAAACCAAACAAATAACTTAAATAATAATAACGCAGCAAAGCTTCCACTGTTAATGATTCATAAGGTTCACCGGTTAATTTAAGCTCTACCTAGAACAGGGTTTACGTAAACTAATGCCTATTTTATTGTAACAATTGGACCCGAGCAATGTTGCTATTGTTGTTTGACGGAGACAGAGTTATAACCAGGGCTTAATGACTGAATTACGCAATGTGTCATAGACAAGTTTTAGTTTTATCAAGTTAATATTTCGCGCTTTGTATATTACTTACTGAATAATGTTATCATAACCGACGATTATAAATTTATGATAATAACTTTAAATATTATAAATTTTTTTGGTTGAACGTATTGAGATAGACTTTACCTTTATTTATTTGTTATATTGCAGTATATTATTTATAACTTTTAATGAATAAGAACTGTAAAATATGCATCGTTCAATAATTAAGTAACGCAAATTTGGTTAAATATTAAACTAGGTAATATTTAAGTAATTTTTTCTGAACACGGAACGGTGGGCGTAACGAAAACATTCTGGCCGGTATTAAAATAATTGTACCTAATTATATCTGTCTCATTCATTTAGTACGCCGAAGTACATGCATGTTTCACAAGAGTTTTGCCTTCTCGGACCAGTTGCCTCCAACTTTTCGGAACGTCAATTAATTAATCGAGTGTATCGACACTCGACCCGATTTCAGGAGCCCGGGCTCGGTTGACAATCTGAGTTATCTGATTAAGCACGCTTTCTCTCTGCATGTGTGACACGCGGTTCGGCGCTGTGCCCATGTGTCGCCAGCCGAACTAACCATTTCATCACTCTATTTGAATAAATAACCATTTATTGCATATTGCATGTATAATATATACTAGGCTCGATTGTTATATTGTGCTCGCGTGAGACATCTCAAATGGTATCGTTAATCAAAGTCGTAATGCGTTTTTGATAAGCTTCGCTCAACCCTCATTTATGTTTTTTCTTAATATGATATTCTTAATAATACTACATTCGATCTCATGAAATGTAACGAACATTGACGCGCTAAATGCAGCACGTGATTAAAGTATTTTGAATTTATCAATCTTGAACGAATACGTGATCAATTATATTTCATTTCGTATTCATAAGACGTGCAGGCACACATAAAGGAAATGATCTTTTCGCTTCACGCGGAGGTCGTTATTGATCTCAATCCAGATAAATGTTCTAATTAAAAGTTGCGGCCTCGCATGTTCCCACTTTGTTTCTGTACGCAGCGCAATTTCTCTCCGGTGTCATTGCTGTTATCAATAATAATACTGAATAAATCAATAGCTAACTCATCGGAATATATTACTAATTTTAAAATTTCCCTGGAATCAACACTTCTTCAATCAAATTTGTTTTTTTAGATACACTATGTTAAATTCTAAAATTCCGTTACTGCAGCATATTTCCAGACAAAATAACGCAATAATTATTTAATTAGATACGTGAACAGTTACAATCCATTCAGATTCGTGATCCAGAATTTATTTGCGTCTATTATATATTTTGCATCGGAATAAAATAAGATCATTCAGAAATAAATTTCTATCATCGCCAAAAACTTTACTGATGAGCGTCGCTAGCGATTACCTAAACCGGAATGTTACTATCGAATTGAATAATATGAGTTTAAAACAGTATCTGTTACGCACGCGGGCATCGCCCGCCGCAAGTAGTGCGTGGCGGTAAAGAGCGGAACGCGTTATATGTGCTCGCATCATCTGTTTATCTACGAGTTTACGTGAACAATGCTCGCAACAGGTTGAGTAAGAGCGTTACGCAGGTGGTCGTCATAGAGTGCGGACTGAGTCTGAGGCGTACATTGCCGCGTTTAGTTAGGCTTCGTTAGCGGGTACCCATCCATCAGGCCGTATCGCCTTTATGACAATTATTTATGTTCACCGCCCCGCGAAACTATTCCACTCGCAGCTGAGCTTTATCGATGGAGCAGAAGTAATGTCCCGCCGTCGCGATACGCTATATCTGATACGGATACGTCTGTTTGTTAAGTGCGCCAGTTTTGCTGGTTGTTTTAACGCCCAGCTTGTCCGGCGCAAATGTTCACGAATGTCGGTTTCGACATAAATTCTGAGCGGAACTGTGGGTGTTGCTGCCGTGCGTTCGCTCGTAGAGTACGCGCCGGTATTTATTTCGCATCAAGTGAGATTTATCAATGGCCGCACTCGGCTCGTAAATAAAAGATTCGCTTCCAAGTGGGACGTCACAAATGACGTTGAGTTAGAACTTATGAAATCGTTAAAATGAGCGACGATTTAAATGTAAGTTCTTTAAATAGTGACAGTCATTAATGACAATATTAAAATATTTGAATAAGTAATATTTAAATTTGAACATGTAACAACACTTACTTTAAATGCAGTCGATCCGTAGTCGTTCTCTTTGTCTTACATCCCGAAGTAATAATATTATGGTTTATGTTTATAATAATTGTAATTATATTAATTTCTCGTATAGCCTGTCTTTCGGCTTTCTTATAAAACATTTTTCGCGTATACAATTAGTAGTGAAATTGTACAATCTGTTTTTATAGTAGTACTCGATTTCACCTCATATACATGTTTATTTTCGATCTCATCGAACTATACATTGTCCATATTCGATTCCAAGATTCCAAGTACACATAAAATGCCCAGCTCTGTCGTAATCCGGGCTTTATTAATAGACACTAATGCAGAATCGCTCGGCATAATGTGGATGCGCCCCACGCAATGGTTTCGAGCGCCGCGGGCCCCGGGAGATTGCTAGGGATGATGAGCTTCCGCCCTCCGACAAATTGCCTAGTGTGCCCGCGCATCCGGTGATGCAGCCATCTCCTCTAATTTAACATGCCATGTCCACGTCAAAGACCCGACGTTGCTACACATATCCCATACCCCAACACACCGAATATATGTTATTAAAGGTTAATAAATGCTTAAAAGGCATGACATAGACAAAATGAAATGCATTTTATAGAAAAACAGACGACATTTAAGTCGTTTTCGGCAGAACAGGTAGTATATCGATTTGTTCATTCACAAGTGATCAGGTTTCATCTCACGATACAACGAACTGGTTTAGGCCGTAATATTGATCCGAAATAAGTTTTAGAGGTTAGCTCAAATACTCATATTATGTAAATAATATCAGATTGAGTTTTTTTCTTTACTCAAAACTTTAGTTCTTTTATTGAATTTGGATTACTTTTTTTTTTTTGAAGTGAAAACTTCTTTAGGCAAATTGAGCACTTTTTGGGTGAACAAAAATCATGG